GCAAACCTAACCCCCCATTAAGGCTCTTAACTGTAAAAGGAACAGGACTTGATAAAGGAAGACGATGAAAATTAGTCCTCCCTTTGACATTCCTGGGGTCTCAAGTTTCTTACTAGTAGCTATTTGTATTCTCATTACTGACCTCCAACTCCACCTTTTTGGAATTATTAGTATGGGGGGGAAATAACCTTAATACACAAGTTTCCACTGCTAGAAGCAGCTCAGATGTTATGATGAAAAATCGTTTTTGATAATTTCAGGGGGTTCTCTAATGAGTTTGTTCACAAAACTTACACTATTGGCTGTAGCCTCATCTAGGAAGAGTCTAAAACTATCATGCTGTCCGAAACCCCATACTCATCCTGTCTGTCGCTAGATGATATTGCGTCTCATTTCTTGTGAACATTAAATTCAGATGTCTTTTTTTTCTTAAAGCACCAAACCACACATCTCTGGTTGTTCATTCTTTAGGACTCTCGGAACAGAAATGTGAACAGCTTTACTGCTAACAGCTTTACTGGTTATAAGCTAGCTTTACTAAGATTGAGTTCCTGGGTTGGCAGAGTTCATGTGGCTGGCCACTTGAGGTCCCATTGAAGGGCCAGTTCTGTCTGAGTCAATTGCATCAAAAGCATTTCAAGACCAACAATCCTTCAGAGTGGGAATACTACCTTATTAATGATAAGACAATCTCATTGGGTTAAGAAAAAGCTTAGCTCTCGCAAATTCCACTGGTCCAAGCAAATGACCTCCACTGTCTTCTATGCCAGTAACCAATCGTGATTACTTACCTATACTTTTTACTATATCTATGAAGTCCTAAAGAGAGAAGTCACATTACGTATGCTCTTGCAACTGGCTGGGAGGAAAGCTGGAGATTTTTCTTCTCTCTGTAAAAAAAAAAAAATACTATGAACTGTAGAAGGCTTGTAATGGGACTGGCTTGAAGTAACATACCTGAAATGCAAGTCACTGATTTCAATCATATTCTGGTTTTGAGAGAATAATGAAAAGCTCTGTATTGTTGGGAAATGTGAACATACCAGTAACCAGTCAGCCAGAGTACCCATCATGATACTCTGGGAAATATTTCATCAGACTTCACCTGTGACCCTTTCAGCTCTGGTTCAGGGTAGTCTATTTTCCAGTGAGACATCAAATAGGAAGGTTTCAGTGCCACATTGTCATTGGAGAACTTGTGGGGTTGGATCCTACAAGTGCATGGAAAGGGATACCCTTTTTAGTCCCCTCCCCAAAAGAGACACCCCAGGGACAAGTTGGGGAGTTCATTTGGACCACCTGCAAATTCGAGGAAATTGTTCCCTGGATGACATGGGGTTACACATGAACATCCTCGAGCTCAGAGCCATCAGACCGTCCTCTATGGTGTTCCTACTTGTCCTCCAGAATTGAGTAGTGAAAATCTTCGCAGACAACTTGACAGCTATGCTCTCCCTGAACAGGGCGGGGGGGGGGTGTGCCTACTTCTTGCCCTTCTGCCTGGAGATCATTACATTCTGGACTTGGCCCCATCAGAATGGGGCAACCCTGATGGCCTTTCATCTCCTGAGAGTCAGCAACAACTTAGGAGAATTCCTGAGCAGGGGATCTGTGACCAATCACAAATGATCCTTGCATAGATTCATCACGGGCCTGATATTTCATTGTTGCTGATTCCCTGTAATAGACTTCTTTGCTATGGACAGGATCTGCTCCCTACAGATCCAGGAAATCCTGACACAGAGCAGGAAAACATCTACCAGGAGAATGTATTCATCTAAATAGAAGAGATTCTCGATATTGGCAGCCCAATGTGGTTTGGACCCAGCCCAGGTCTTGATACTAAAGATCCTCAACTACTTACTACACTTAAAACAGGCTGGTCTTTCATTCAGTGCTATTAATGTCCACCCTGCAGCAGTCTTAGCTTGCCATCTGCCTGTACAGTTGTTTGGTCATCTCTTACCCCATGGTATTGAAGTTTTTCAAAGGGCAATTACACACCCACTTGGGACCTCCTGAGGCTCACGGAGCTTCTGTTCAAACCTCTCTCAGCCTGTCCCTTACTGCACCTCACTCTACAGTCTGTTTCTGGTAGCTGTCACTTCAACCAGAAGGCTGAGTAAGCTGCAGGCTCTTATGGCTAAATCCCCATGTGACATTCCATAGGGACAAGATGGTGCAAAGATATTACCCGAAGTTCATTCCTAAGTTGGTCTCAGATTTTCATACACACGAGTCAACCCACTGTTTTCTTCCCAAAGCCATGCTCTGTTCTGGGTGAAAAGAAATTACACACACTATATGTAGTCAGGATTTTGCTTTCTTATATTGTCAGGACCAAGCCATTTAGGCTGTAGCCCTGTCCGTAACCAGAGCTGGGTGTTCTAAAGCTCAAGCGCTCTCTTCACAAGGAAGGTCACGATGGATAACGTTGTTATAGGTTGGATCCCTTAGGAAGTCACCTGATGTACTGAGATACTACTGACTCTACGTGTTCTGCCTACATGAGCCCCCTTTTACCTGTCTTGCTGAGCCAGGCTCTTAAAACTTCCTCTAACACATACACAGGCAGGGACGCACTCCCAGCTTCAGATTAGCTCTGGGAAGACTCAGTTTAAGGGACTTTCTCTAGCACTCGGATGTCCACCTCCCTTGGAGTACAGACCCAAAGATATATTCACCTCTTCCCTCAGTGTGGAAGAGGGTATGTACAATTTCTAGCCTCCCACCCCCCCAGTTAGATATCACATAAACTGGGTTATATTATAAATCAGAAATAAATTTATTAACTATAACAGGTGTATTTTAAGTAGTTAAGGAGGTAGCAGACAGAACAAGGCAGATTACTAAGAAAATAAAACAAGCCTGCAAACTCAGCTTAATACACTAAAGAAACTGGTTACATGCGTGTTCTCACCCTAAATGTGGTTCTAATAATCATTTTCACAGGCCAGATGCCCCCTGGATAATCTGAACATCCAGTGGCACTTTTTGTAAAACAGAGCCATGGGCTAGTTAAATAAAGATCCACCCTTTTAGCGGCCGGTCACAAATGCATTTCAGTCAGTTGATTTAGTTGGGGTTGGTCCTGCTTTGAGTAAGGGGGTTGGACTAGATGACCTCCTGAGGTCCCTTCCAACCCTGATATTCTGTGATTCTATGATGGCAGTTTTCATAGGAAAGAAAATATGAAAATGCTTATATTGCCGTTTCCTTCCATTACTGCAGAAATCTAATGAACTACCAGCATGATGTGAAGGATGGGGCTCCACCTCCAGTCACAATCAGCATTGTCAGTTAACAAGTTCTCACAATCCTGTTTAACCAGAAGGTTTCCTAGAGAAGACAAATGAGGTCACACAGTCCTTTTACGTCTTTATCCAGCCTGTTTAGCCTATCATGTCTCTTTCATAGAATCATAGACTATCAGGATTGGAAGGGACCTCAGGATGTCATCAGAGAATATCAGGGTTAGAAGGGACCTCAGGAGGTCATCTAGTCCAACCCCCTGCTCAAAGCAGGACCAATCCCCAATTTTTGCCCCAGTTCCCTAAATGGCCCCCTCAAAGATTGAACTCACAACCCTGGGTTTAGCAGGCCAATGCTCAAACCACTGGGATATCCCTCCCCCCAAATTCCTCAAATACATCTCAAACTTTTTATGATACATTCATGGGTTGAAGCATCTGTTGCTTCCTTAGGTAGCTGCACCGTAATTGACCTCTGTGTAAATATTTATGTAATATTGCTATCTGATGGGGCAGTAACAATCCTTTTGGGCATGATGGTTTGTTTTCTATGCTACCCTGAGCTTTCAGTAGGCTTTCTGCAGCTTTGCTCTTCTCTCCATTCTTTCTCCTTCCCCAGTTTTCTGGAAACTTGGGCAGCCAACAGGAATCATAATATATTTCTATGTTCGTTAAAGAAGCCCATTTCTGCAGGATAGCAGGCTATCTAGTTCAGAATATGTACTATGCTAAGACTATTGCAGAATGGATACAGTTCCTTCTACTCCATGTAAGTGTTGGGGGGGTTGGGTTTCTGAGAGGGGAGGAATAGCTCAGTGGTTTGAGCATTGGCCTGCTAGACCCAGGGTTGTGAGTTCAATCCTTGAGGGGGGCATTTGGGATCTCTGGGAAAAATTGAGGATTGGTCCTGCTTTGAGCAGGGGGTTGGACTAGATGACCTCCTGAGGTCCCTTCCAACCCTGATATTCTATGATTCTAGAAGTGAGCAAAAAAAGGAAGCTGAAGTGTATCTATACCCCAGGAGAGGGTGGTCCCATTAGAGATGGAGTCCCATTAGAGATGGATGGAGCAGAGTAATGAGGATCTGAAACTATGAAAGGACCCCTCCCCCCCTTTTTTGGTGCTACTTTATAATGTATAGAGAAGAACCTTTTCTGCATTTTGTTTACATGAGAAATTCAAGTCCCAGCCTGCCCTCACTCGCAGCTGCATAAGGGGGCGTGAAGAGCAGCCCAGGACAGGAAAAGCTGAGAGGCGAGGAGCCTGGCAGTTCACCGTTTGCGGGTCCCTCTCTGCTGTGCCGACACCCCTTCAACCCTGACGCCCTGCCTCGTGCAGAATGCCCCCGCCCCACTGGCGCCCCGCACCCAGCTGTTCCTGGCTGCGTTAGTTACCCCCCAAGCAGCAGCCAGGAGCCAGCTGTAGCGCCCCCACGTGCGAACTGCCCGGCCCCTCCTCACTTCCCCCACGTGCAGCCCCGAGGGAGGGGTGGGGAGGAGCCAGCCAGAGCCAGGGCCTGCAGCGCCACCTGCTGCCTCGTAGGAGGAACGCACGTGTCCCAGCCCGGGAAAGGCATGGGAGACGCACCATAGAGACCGCAGCACCAAGAAGATAGTCTGGGATCTTCCCCCGCCCCCGGCTTTCGAGAAGGGGAGATGAGAACGTTCCTCTATTTCCGGGTGAAAGGGATTGGTCATCTGGGATTGGCTTGTTTGTCCCACAGCAGCCAATAGACATCGGTTTGAGGGGGCGGGACTCCGCCGTGCAAACAAATAGGTCGCCTCGCTTTCGGTTCCGTACGTCAAGGTTGATCGGCGAGACGGCGGCTGGTTAATTATTCATGACCCCTGGGTATGCAAATGAGGGGGTGGGGCTCCGGCACCGACAATTATGGCGACGGGGGATGGCGGCGGTGGCGCGAAGAGGGCTCCCGGGATCCAGCCTGGAGCCAGCGCCGGGACGGTGAGGTGCTGCGGCCCTGGGGAGTCTGAGGGGAGTGTCCGCCCGGGGGGCGCCCCCCACCCCTGCCGACCCCGCCGCCGACCCCACGGGGCGGCGCCTCCCCGAGCGGCCGGGGCTCGGGCGCCTAGTCGCGCCCGGCTCCGCTTCCCGCCCCGCGCTGACCCGAGGCGCCGCGGCTGCGAGCAGAGCCGGGCCCGCGCCCAGGCAGCCGCGTGGGTCACTCGTGGGCGTCACGGGCTCGCGTCTCCCCTCGGGAGCGGGGTCCGCCCGGCGCAGCTGCGTTCGGCCGGCGCCGCCCGCCCGCCCGCGGTCCTCGGCTCCTCCCGCTCGGACGTGGCTGGGGCGCTAATGGAGCTACTGGCTGTTTGCGGGGCTTTATTTGTGCTGCGGCTGGTGTCATTCGCTGAGCGGGGCTCGGTCTCCCCGTAGGCCTGGAGAGATTAGACTTGTCCGTAAACGTCAAGTTCACTTACAAATGCTTTAATCAATAATAATCGAAACTTACCCCTAGGCAAAGTAGGGAAAATACCGCTCAAGAACAAGAGCTGGGTTTAAGAATAGTTGCTTTGTATATTTAAGTTCTAGAGCTTTAGTTTTTTAATCTCATTCGCTACTGTCACTAAATAATTGTCTGACCTCCCCCAATAATTGCCAACAATGGTGAAAATGTAAATAGATGAAAATTGGGGGCAGGGAATGCTTTAAAATATCTATCAATATTATCCATCAACATTTATTTTAAAAAAACAGTTTCTCCCAAGCCTGTTCACATGCATAAAGATATTCAGGTGTGTGTTTGCAGAGCTAGCATCAAAAACCACAGTTACATCAAGAATTAGTGTTATCTCCTTACCAAAACTCATAGTTACTGTATGTTTTTATTAATTAGTCCAGTGGTTCTCAACTGGGGGTCTGCAGCCTCCTGGGGATCCGTGAGCCCTTTCAAGGGGCTGTGGGGCCCCACAGCTGAAGCCCAAATCCCCAGTGCCCCCTGGGGGGCTGAAGCTGGGAGGCGTGGGGCTGAAACCCCAATCTCCGGCAGCCCCCGGGGGGCTGGAGTTGGGGTGCTGAAGCCCCAATTCCCAGCACCCCCTGTGGGGTAAAGCCGGGAGGTGCAGGGCTGAATGCCGGAGCCCCGAGCCCTGGTGCTTCCTGTGGGGCAGAAGCCCTGAGCCCATGGGAAGACTTGGGGACATGGAGGGCATTTTCCCCAAAAAAGAACTGCAGCACAAGAGCATAGCAGTCCTGGGAGAAGCTCCACACCACTGACTCCAGAGGGAGTCAGTCCAGTAAGAGTTCACTGGGTGGGGAGACTCTGCTCCGTAGCTGGCAGACCCCTCCGGGAACAGGGACCAGCGGGGAGTCCTCCCAGTATATAGCCTCTAATACCCCTGTCAAGGTTCCTCCCCCACTCTGAACTCTAGGGTACAGATGTAGGGACCTGCATGAAAAACCTCCTAAGCTTATCTTTACCAGCTTAGGTCAAAACTTCCCCAAGGTACAAAATATTCCACCCGCTGTCCTTGGACTGGCCGCTACCACCACCAAACTAATACTGGTTACTGGGGAAGAGCTGTTTGGACGCGTCTTTCCCCCCAAAATACTTCCCAAAACCTTGCACCCCACTTCCTGGACAAGGTTTGGTAAAAAGCCTCACCAATTTGCCTAGGTGACTACAGACCCAGACCCTTGGATCTTAAGAACAATGAACAATCCTCCCAACACTTGCACCCCCCCCTTTCCTGGGAAATGTTGGATAAAAAGCCTCACCAATTTGCATAGGTGACCACAGACCCAAACCCTTGGATCTGAGAACAATGAAAAAGCATTCAGTTTTCTTACAAGAAGACTTTTAATAAAAATAGAAGTAAATAGAAATAAAGAAATCCCCCCTGTAAAATCAGGATGGTAGATATCTTACAGGGTAATTAGATTCAAAAACATAGAGAACCCCTCTAGGCAAAACCTTAAGTTACAAAAAAGATACACAGACAGAAATAGTTATTCTATTCAGCACAATTCTTTTCTCAGCCATTTAAAGAAATCATAATCTAACACATACCTAGCTAGATTACTTACTAAAAGTTCTAAGACTCCATTCCTGGTTTATCCCCGACAGAGACAGACTATAGACAGACACACAGACCCTTTGTTTCTCTCCCTCCTCCCAGCTTTTGAAAGTATCTTGTCTTCTCATTGGTCATTTTGGTCAGGTGCCAGTGAGGTTACCTTTAGCTTCTTAACCCTTTACAGGTGAGAGGAGCTTTCCCCTGGCCAGGAGGGATTTCAAAGGGGTTTACCCTTCCCTTTATATTTATGACAACCCCTCTCCGTACACCCTGAGCTACACCCTACCTGCACCCTGAACTATCCCCTGCCAGCACGCAGCCCCTAGCCACCCCCCCTCCCTGCACCCACAGCTACCCTCTATGTGCACACAGCCCCTAGTACCCCTGCCTTGCACCCTAAGCTGTTCTCAAACTTTTTGAGCTAAGCCCTCTGCTTTTGAGTTGTAATTTTTGGGTTGTGTGTGCCCCCCTGCAACCCCCCCCAGCTGGTTGGCCTGCTGAGGTGAGTCAGGGGGTGGAGGTGGTGTTACCTCCCTGGACCCTGCGATGCAGAGGTGGCTCGAGCCCAGCTGGCCCCTCCTCACCCAAAATAGAAGTCCAACTACGCCTACGCCCAAGGCCCCTCTGCCCGCACTGGGCCCTGGAGTTTTATAGCACGTTGAGGGGGGCCTCAAAGAGAAAAAGGTTGAGAACCCCTGCATTAGTCAGTCCATAAGAATGGCCCTACTGGGTCCTTTAATATGCTAGGATATGTATCATCTGGATTGGCTGATTTATAAGTATCACATTTTCCAAGTGTTTCTCTACTTGTTTTTTATTAAGTTATTTTTGCGAAGTTTTCTTTTTGTTGAGAACTCTGTAACGATTTTTGTCACAAATCTCACAATATTTGGTGTTTTTCCTTAAGGTCCTGGTACTGGAGTCATAAGAGTACATGAGAATCTCACTTTTGTTTTTTAAATGATCTACAAGCTTAGCTTTCTTATCAGGGTGGGGATAAGCTTGAAAAGGCTAAAAAAGCCAAAACCTCAAATTGGCTTTAAAAATCATTAGATTTAAAAAAATCTCATGATTTTTGAATGGTTGGGTTGGCAACAGTGCAATTGTGAAATCCCTTTTTCTATATTTTTGGGTGAAGACAGATTTACAGGGAAGCTTATTATCACAGCCATATGAGTTGTCTTTAATTTAACATCTCCAATCCCCTCCCAAAAATCTCATTTCCCACACTTCTCCCATCTTTCCAGTTTCACAGCACGCACAGGGCCTGGAAGAGAGTAAGGTTTCCCCCTTTCAGCTCTCTTGAATTGCTGTGGCGAGAGGTTGCTGTGGTCATTGAGTATGTTGTTACAGCAATGGGTGCCCTAGAAATACTGAAAATAACTGCAGACACCTTGAACAGCATCTGTATCTTAGTGATGCTGGCTGACCTGCTCTGCTCTTGCTTGTTATCTCTCCTGCAGGCTCAGATGGAGAACAAGAGGACAAACAGGGAGAGTGATGTAGTGGAAAAAAGGGGCCCATACATCATGACCAAAGCTTCCTCCATTCATGCCAAACTGCGTAAGTAATGACCTGGTCTGTCACAGAGTCCCCATCTCCCTAGCAAGTTCCCATCTGAGGGTCAGGGGAGGGTAATGGTTCAACTCAGCCCAGGTTAGTAGTGACTGTAAACTGTACCATCTGTGTAAAATTAGTTGAATTGAAATTTAATCCAGGTTTAGTAAACATTTTGTGGTTTTTATCATTGCAGTTGCTATGGTTAATGACAGTTTTAGCAGAGAGGCCAGGGACTGAATGGGTCATGGAGCCTGCCTCTGTTGGAGGTGGTTGTGCTTGGGACAGGTGACAATCCATTGGTGGATAGCATGGCAGAACCTAGCACTGCCTGTCCCATGCCTGTTTTGTGACTGAAGCCTTCTGTCTCCAGGCCTCTGTCTAGCTCTTTCCCAGTGCCAGCTCAAAATATGTCTTAAAAGAAAAGCACATGAGTAGCCCACTGCAGAGACTTGATGGGTCCCTCGCGTTGTAAACCTTGCACTGAGGGAGTTCAAATTATGCATTGCACTGCTTGGTAATAGATGGAAAAAAATTAAGGAATGTTCTCCTTAAATCAGAAGTTAAAGCCTAGATCTTTCCCTTTAATTAGAAAAACTGGTCAGCTAGATCTTCTGTTTAGTGCCAGAAGTTTTGATCAGATTAAACCATTTGTATTAAAACAAAGAGAACTTTTATCTTTTAGCACGATCAACTTGGATTGCTCTAGGCAAGTAGTACTGCATAATTCTGTCATAACTGGCTAGAGAATATTGCCATTGGATTACTAAGGAAGGGATCATAATTTGAATGGGATGGAATAGCTCAAGACTTCCACATAAGATAAAATCAAAGCTGACTGCCCTTAATATAGGCGAAGCATTTTGAAATTCTTGTGGTAGTTTCACCCACCATTTGTCCATAAGGCTTCAAATCTGGGGGCTTTGAACCCAATTGCTGTCTAAAAATTCAGAAACATCTGTGGCCAAAAGTGCCTTTCATGTCCATCTGGCTAAGCGACTGCCACCATTTCTCTGATGTGGGTCTTTCTAGGGTTGTCCTTTGTAACTTCCAGGCTAGGTAACTGCCATATGCACCTAGGAGTTACAGATGGTGGAGAATGTAAATGCCTGATTGCTGGGCAGCTTGAGTTGCAGGGAGCTCATGGTGCTAATTCTCCAGACTGCTCCTTGCTTGCTTTTTGGCTGCAGTTCAAAGTATTGTGTTTGATTGCCAAAACCTTACACAGGTTGGGTCCTGGCTAGCTGAGCCCTATCTACTGCCCATGCAACAGAAGTCAGCTGAGGTACTTTTGCTGACATCCCTAGATTTGACCATGTGGGGACTGGAGATGGGGAATGCTTGGTGAAGGCTCTTGACTCTGGAACTTGCTTCACCACCACTCACTCACCCTGGTCTGACGTTTTCTCAGGCTATATATTAAACCCTGAAGGCAAATCTGTTTCCCCAGGCTTTTGCAGAGGTGGGGGATATTTCTGAGGGTGACATGTATCAACTGCTATTAATCTACTTCTAATGTTGGCATTAGTCAACAAGTCATGTGTTTAATATTGTTCGGCACCAAAGCATATGTGACTGGCAGGGAAAAGGGGACTTTTAAATAAACAAATGGAAAACACCGCAGTGTGCGTCTGACCACATGGATAACAAAATCATATGTCTCTTTCAATCAAAGTGATAAGAATAGACATGTTGGAATTGAGTTTCTGTACCATATATTGCATGTGAAAGGCATTGTAAAGCAGCTGCACTCTTGTTAGCGATGACTTATGACAACTTGCCCCAGGAGTATGGGTCAGTTGGGTTCGGAGTTGTAAGTATCCTTGTTTGGGTTTCAGAGAGGCATCGAGAAATGGCAAAGGCGGTGCTGCGGAGGAAAGGCATCTTGGGGGCAACTGTTCTACAGCAACCAAAGCCAGCAGCAAAGAGGTTTGAGCCCATTTCTTTTCACTGTTGACAAGCTGTATTTTCAAATACGTCTGAGAGACTGGATGGCTCAGAGGATTAGGAGCAGGATATGGGGTCTTTGACCTCTAGGTCACTCGTTTTAATTCAGGTGTATAGTGACTGATAGGTCAGCAGTATATGTGAAATGAGTTAGTGTCTCCTGTCAGTTCCCAGTGTGTGTTCACATCACAAACCACTGATCACTGTTCACACTAATTGGGTGCTGCCCCATCCCTTCCTCTCCCCACCCCCTTGTTGACAGCCCCAGCCAAGAGGCAAATGACTGCCTGAATTGCCTTCTTGCTCCTAGAGGTGCTCCCTCCTGGTCAGGCATGAGGCTCACTGGCAAGGGGCAGCATAAGGAAGCTTGTGATGCTGCTGCCTATGGTGTAACTGTTCTGTGGCTAAACAGAGGACATCACTCTCTAGAACAACTCAACTGGTGGGTTGCAATCCCCATGGGGATCACAAAAATCAATCAGAGGAGTCACAAAGTATTGAAAACTTGATTACAATCTTAAGCAAAGAAAATGTCACTTCCCCCTCTCCCTGCATACCCTTATCCTTCCTGTTAGCCTCTTATAACACAACACGCACATTATATCGGCTTATAATTTGTTAGCATTGATCCATGTATTGTAAATGGAAGAGTAAAAAAGCAGGCCGTGAAAATTGTTGACTTTGAATGAGGAGTTGCCAACAGTTGGGAAATGCTGCCCTAGAGCTGTCAATCCGGTACATTCACAAACACTAAATCCTTTTAACAAGATATGTATTTCTCCTCTCAGTCAGGAGGATAGTGTGGCTTTGAGGAATTAATCAGCTAAATTTATTGCAGCACCTGGAGTTGGAGTTAATTTCCAGCTGCTCTAGCCCATTGTGGCTGTGAGAGTCTTCCTTCTTCAGATTAGCAATACTTAGGCCAGGGTTAGTCAATTATTTTTTGTTACGGTCCAACTTTCTTGCTCAAGGTCCAGACTCCAGAGAAAATAATAAAAAATAATGATAATAAATAAATAGATTTCAGGATCCATTCATAAATATCTGGTGGTCCAGATTTGGCACGTGGTCCAACTATTGACTACCCCTGACCTAGGCAGTAAAGTGAGAGAGGACATCTCTAGTGTCTACTGTTGTACCTCCTATCCTGTGTTCTTAGCCTGGAAGACAGTCAGATCTGTGATCACCCTTCCCCATCTAGATGTCTGTTGCAGGCTCATTTGTGCACCTCTCTCCAGGTCAGTGAAGTTTAACAAGGGCTATGCTGCTCTCAGCCAGACAGCGGATGAGAACCTGGTGTCCCTTGATTCAGACAGGTGAGAGCTTTGTGTGTGTCAGTGGCTTGGTGCTTTGAGGTAGGTGTACTCAGGGGTACTGAGTGATGCCTGCTTGGTGGATCTGAGCCCCTGCATAGCAACACTTTGTTCAAAACACAAGTTACTAACTGACTTAGCTGTGCCAGCCTCTGTTTATATGGAGATTCCTTTTTGAAGGGAGAGAAGTCCACTTACATTAAGGGAGCTGACCTGGGGCTGTAAAGTAAAGGGAATGGCTGATTAGTCACCTTTGTGACTGATCTGCTTGCCTCCAGCAGTACAACCCCAAGGGAGCTGGACCTGTTAACAACCTGAGTTGCAAATTCTATTCCGATCTTTGTGAGGCTGATGCCTTGCTGACCTGTAATTTAGGCTCTCGTGGGCACCTGTTGGAGAGGGTGATGCAGGACCCCTTTACATTTGCGCTGCTAATGAGTGTTTCAGCAGGACTATGCTGACACTGAGGTCCCTGCTGAAACGCTCATTAGCAGTGCAAATGTAAAGAGCCATTCCCCACTCAATCCCCAGGAGCTGACATCAGCTCCTTCACTTCAGATGCCCTTATTTGCTTGCTGGGCGGGGGAGGAAGTCGTATACTCTACCAGACTCCATGCACACCCCACTGATGCAGCAGTTGATGCGCTTCACACATTCTCTTGCTTACCTGACTGTTGCATTCCTCTCTTAGTGATGGGGAGCTGGAGTCAAGATGTTCCTCCGGTTACTCCTCTGCAGAGGCAAGTCCAGAGTTTTGTTTTGTTGTATCTCACATGCCGTATGATTCACATGGATCCATTCTCAGTCTGCCCCACCCCAACTATCCCCTTTGTCCAGTTGCCATATATTTGATAGCGAAGAGTTCAGTATGTGGAGTATAATTTAGTTTACTCCTCTAAAGCTGTTTGTGGACTTTGCTGAGCTTGGACAGTTAACTAGACTGGTCAGTTTCAAATTTCCGATTCTCCTGCCATAGCATAATACCGTTCTGGTGGCCAAAGCTGCAAGGGGATGCTTAATTCTCCTCCCCCAACCCCAAAACAAATCGACTACAGTTTTATTTGATACTGCTAAAAATTCCTATTTATCTCCTATTAGGGTATGTAAACCCTGTCTCTTTCCAGACCCTGAAGCAGTTTGTCCCAACCTTAGCTTTGTAAAGGGCTTTGAGTGGCAACCCTAACACTGATCTGTGGGGTGTTCATCAGTGTCTGCAATCCAAGAGTTAAAGCTCTCTCCTCAAATGTGCACCTTCTCTGCTCAGCTGGTGTTGCTTTCTCTGTGGGAGGCTGCTGGGTGGGAGCTGGGAATCAGGAGCAATGCAGGGAACTTGGGGCTCTTTGAGTTTAAATCAGTATTTTTTTTTTTTTTTTTTTGCTAAGACTTGATCTTAGTTTTAAAAGTTTCTTTCAGTTTAAATCAACCCTCTCCTCCTTTCATCCCTCTAACCAGGCCCATCTTGATTGCTTGGCTCCTGAGAGAGGGGGTGTGTGTGTGTGTAATAAGAATGCAAGTGAAATTAACTTGCAAACTACAACCCCAACCACAAGAGGGTATGATAGACATCAGATAGTACAGGGAACATCTTTTCGTTGGGGCTGGAGCAGTGGAGGGCTTCAGTGTTCCCAACTGACTGACTTGCTTCAGGAGTTCTTATCTCTTCTGTTGCTCACTCAGCAGGTGAACCAGGATTTGAGCCGTCAGCTTCTACAGGACGGGTACCACCTAGATGAGATCCCGGACGATGAGGACCTAGATCTCATTCCCCCAAAGCCCGTTGCCTCGTCACCTTGTCCCTGTTGCTTCGGAGAGTCTCTCTCCTGCACAATCCAGTAGGCACTGCTCAACTGGGCCAGCACTTTCTACCTTGTTTCTTAGGACATTAGCATGCCTGATAGAGGCAACTGCATTCAGCACTGAACATTGACAGAAACTGAAGTGGGCTCAGTGACTGGAGAACTGGACGCTGCCACTGCTGCAGTTATTGGCACCTGCTCAAGTTGAGCAGCAACAGTTGATTATCCCAAAGCTACTTTTTGTTACATATAGTGATATAATATATAGATATTATGTGTAGCTGTTCAGGTCGCCTGGATGCAACTGGTCACCTCATGCACTGTTGGAGCATGGAAAGATGCTTCATGCTGGCTAGGGGAGGAGGGAGAAGAGAACATGTGGGTACTTCCACTCTTAAAGGAGAACTCCAAAGCTGTTTGTAAAGGAGAACAGCAAAGGTCTCAAGTCAGTAATCTAACAAGCTGGAGAAATGCAAATGAAGGCACTTGAGTGTCTGCAAACAATCATTCCTGTTCCTCATCTTCCAAGGCTGGGGTTTGGGATCTGGTGCTGCCTTGGGTGGTTGCCATGTCCTTATAGACTCTGAACTCAGGATCTAGCAGGTAAGCAGAGAAGGAACTTGTATTTCCATGTTGAAACAAGCTACTTGAAAGGCTCTTGAATGCTTTGATCCAGTTTTCCCACACGTTCTATTAATCCTGTGGGATCTCAAATGGTTTGCTTTTATTCTTTGGGGTTCATCTCTTTAACTGGTTGTTTTTATTATATAACTAAAGCATTGACTGTCCTTTATTTAAAAAACAAAAACAAAAAACCTTTGTCTAGGGGCTTGGTTAGAGCTGCTGTGAGATCCTGGATGGTAGCATTACTACCAAGGCACTACACTTTGAGTGTATCTCATAAGCAACCTCAGGCTCTGGCCTTTAATCCTCACTTCTGTAGAGGTGACCTAACAAACTCTCTGCATTTATTTATTTATTTTATTTTGTGTATTCACTAGTCCTGGCTTGAAGTCTGGGGGGCCCCCTCTGGGGCAGAGAGGTTGAGGTAGGCCAGCTGAGATGGAATTCCTCTGGGAAACAGCAGAGGTTAATGGAGGAGGAGGAGGGCTGCCTAATAAGTGTCTAGTTAAATTAATGGACGTAATGCATCTATAATTGCTCTGGGTTTGCTTTGAACTAAATCTATACATAGTGATCAAAACCAAAGCTTGCTGCTCCTTTTGAGTACCATGCCAGGCACTGTGAAGTGACTGGGTGTGGTGGAGATGAGGGTTAAGGCAGGTGTAGGCAGGGTCTTGAGCTGCTTTATTTGAGAGGCTCTCTGCTAAAGATTGCCATGTTGCCTGCTGAGAGCGCTCTACATTCCATGCATTTGATCTGATTAATCAGGTGACTGGTTTCTAGTTGTCTGACTGGACCAGTGGCACATGGTATTATATAGAAATACTACTAACATCTCTTGCAGGACATGTCAATTTCTGTTATTAGTGGGGTTTAGGGGCTTCTGACTAGGTCATAGCAGTTTTACTCGGGGTTTACTCTGCCATGGAAGGTCTGAATTTAAGAGTGAGAAGTTTTAGTGTGAATTTGGCTGATAACCTTTTAGTTACAAAAATACAAAATCAGGATGGAGTCTTGTGCTGCTCTTACTCATGCTGCTGACTGTGAATCTGTGCATCATGGCATACAATCAGGATTGCTTCCCTTCATGAGTGTGGTTTTTTTGTTTGTTTGGTTTTTTTTGGTGAGCCAATCCCAAATTTGGTGGGCTGTTGAAACAGTCCTGAAATATGTTGTGCTGATGTGATCTCCTAGAACATTATGATACAAGGAACTGACTTCCTCCAAGAGGACAAAATTCATAAAGATGGATTTGGTCTTTGTCCTAAAAATGAAGGAAATTTAATTCTTTCAAAAAAACAACCTGCATCAATGTAGCTTGAAGATTATGAGCCTCCTCCCACAATGCTCAGCATTAATTTCAATTCCATTGAATTCTTTGCCCTCCAGGACAGGAATAGCAAACAAAACTGTGACTTCCCTGCCATGGGCTTACTATGCACACTAACAGTAATTGTTTGTAGTGGATTGTTTTATGCAGAGATTATGATGCTATGGAAGCGCTTGAAGGGCTGTTTGGTTAATATTTAAATGTTGTTTGTTTTTTTCTGCTAGTCAGATGGCAGTGAGGCTTTGAGCTCTGGAGTGTAGTCTCTGTACCACCGCTGTCCTAGCCCTGTCCCTTACACTGTCTTCATTAGTATTCAGCTGTGTGAAGTGATTGAGTATTCTTGTCCAGAATGTGGTGTCACGGCCAGAGAAGGGAGCAATTTCCACGTTTTGGTCATCATGTAGATCTTGCGGAACTGAGCATAGTCTGACACTAATGCTGCAGCCTAGAGGGCATGCTGGCTTGGATGACAAACCTTCACACCCTACAGCGTCAGAATGACTCCTGGATGTAATAGGGGCCTCAAAGACAGGATGTTTTGATGCTAAAATCTCAGATGGCACATATCACCACCTGTTGTTGAGGCTCCTGTCTCTGCCGGCTGAAGCTGATTAAATTTATATATATGAAGTGTCTTGAGTTCTCTCTCCTTGTGACCTTTTTTCAGCTGGATGGTCCCAGACGAGTGCACTTGAGCCCATTCTGTTTATATCTCCTCCTTGAGGAGAGGGTTGTTCTGTAAGTACCTGTATGGGCTGGGCCTAGAAGTTGGCTGACGCTGGCTGCTTTCAGTGGCACTTTCCTGACCCCAGCAGTTGAACAAATGAGCTTGGATTTCACATCACCTCTAAAAACGTGGGCCACACCAAGTGTGCTGCCTTACTTAGGGCTGTATGTTGCAACTAAGGTCCATGTGTGGTTGACAGCAGTGAAGAGGTTAGGGAGGCTTTACTTCTCCATCAGCACAGGTACACTCACATTAGTAGTGGCCTGAAAGGTTTGGCTGCTTGCCTTTCACTTGTTAAAACAGGGAGTTGGAATATGATGCTGTGCCCTTTCCTCCTAAATCTCAGGGCCTGAATTACAGATCCTTTTGCTGTGGAAAATACTCTCCCAGTCAATTGCAGGGAGCTGTTTTAGCTAAAAGTTAATCTGTTCTAGTCTAACTTGCTTTAATGGTACTTGTTCAACTACCAAGACAATACAAGAGAGTTGTGGCTATGAAGCAGTCTTTAGTTCAGAATCTCTAGGTTAAGTTGTGAGCAGATTATATGTGTGGGTTTGGGGCAAGGACAGAAGACAAGGGGGAATCTATCTGACATGAAGTTAAAAAGCTGCCTTAAACAGTCCTGCTGTGAGATGCAGAGGACAACCAGCTTATAAAGAAATCTAACGTCTTAAGTATTGCTATAGAGAACTATGACAAAGTTTTGTATATTCCTGGTCAAGGGAAGTGTTTTGTTTATAATAAACTTGATCTTGTGTTACACAAGCAGTGTGTCTTGCTATAGTTGGGAACAATCACACACAGTTCTTGGTGCAACTGAAAGAGTTCCTGGTTTGATTTTTAATAGAGAACTGGGCAGAATTCAGCCAGGGTTAGGTCTCCTGGAAGCTATTTATGACTGGCATGAAGTACTATAAGCAAGGACAGGTTTCAGAGTAACAGCCGTGTTAGTCTGTATTCGCAAAAAGAAAAGGAGTACTTGTGGCACCTTAGTGACTAACCAATTTATGTGAGCATAAGCTTTCGTGAGCTACAGCTCACTTCATCGGATGCAACATCAACATCCGATGAAGTGAGCTGTAGCTCACGAAAGCTTATGCTCAAATAAATTGGTTAGTCTCTAAGGTGCCACAAGTACTCCTTTTCTATAAGCAAGGAGTAGGTGGGGGACTGCTCAGAGCTTTGATCCTGGGTAAGGGAATATCCTCCTCTTCCAGGGGTCACAGGCACATTTTGGTTATCTTCCTAATACCCATTTTGAAATAAAGTGCAGACCAGGGCTTGTCTTCTGCAGTGACTCTTTATTTATTCCTCTTTGTTACAACATTCCAGTCCATGAATATACCTTAGCTGTTGACATACCATGCTGCATGGTTCTTTGTCACTGGTGCCCCACCTGTGCCACCCTGCTAAATGGATTTATAGCTCTTGATAGAGCAGCACATGGTGGACAAGTCAAACCAGCACAGCCAGGTGTGTTGGAAGAAAAATCTCACTCACCAGTGGTTCATAAATACAGGTTATATGCCTAAGGCTAGCTCCTCCTAGGGTTCAGTTCTTTCCTCAGCTTTCCTTCTCCCCCCCCCCCCCGAGCCTATTTAACTCTCCACTCCATGCATCCAATGTAGTAAAAGCTCATGCTCTGATATGTCTGTTAATCTATAAGGTGTCCCAGGACTCTTTGCTGCTTTTACAGATCCAGACTAACATGGCTACCCCTCTGAAGCTATTTAACTCTTGGGGCTCCAGAATGAATCAAGTTAAGAGCACAGCTTCATTCTACAACAACACTGTGTTCCCCTCTCAACAGAGGAATTGCCTAAAATATTACATCAAAATAGGAGCTTTTCCTTAAAGCCAAACAAAGGGGGGATTATTCTACTGGAGTGGAGTTTGATGCTATGTAATTCTCACTGGGTCCCAAGGTACTTAACCTAGATTAATCTGATAAGTGATAGATGAACCACACCCCCATGGAACAAGGAACTGAAGAGGGACGGAGCCCTGGCTGAGTCTCCATGGTTAAAAGATTGAAATGAGCAACAGGCAGGTGAAAGAACAAGGATCAACTCCACAAATGGAAGTTTATCACCACACCTGGCTGCTGCAGCCTGTGTGTTCACAGCAGATCATTCTGGGTTTAGAAAACTAAAGTGAATTCTTTAATACTGATGGCCCTATGGTGCTGCCTGACCTAGACACCACAATGGGAGCAAAGGCCGTTTAAGGGCTACACATTGGGACTGCCATTAAGATGTGAACAAACCACACCTAAGCTACCCTTAACGTTAGCACTGTGGGTGCACATCTCTTCTCTTGTGGAATGATGCAACCAGGTCACTTCCCACCAAAAATGCCAGCAACTGCTATCTGGAAGCTTAAGCCAACCACTCCCTGGAGGGATGACCTCTCCTGTTATAGTCTAACATCCAGCCAATATCTATAGCTGTAGGCACACTGAAATAGCACCAGGCTTTGGTAGTGTCACAATCTTGCCAGGACAGAGTACTGGGCTGTAGAAAGCCTGGCCCTATATAACTGATAGCACTAGCATATGAACATGGGAGTCATGGCTAACCAACAGAATGAAATCTAGCAAGAGCAACCTGTTGGGTCCAGCAAACTGAACTAACCCCCCTTTGAGCTTCCCCCTTCAGCACTGGGTCCAGCAAACTGAACTAACCCCCCTTTAAGCTTCCCCCTTCAGCACTAGCTCCAGCAATCTGAACACAGTTCCAGCTAAGACCGTTTCCTCATGCCCCAGCGAAGGGCAAGGATAACATCATAGCACATTTCAGCCAAGGAGTTCCAAGCACTTCAAACATTCATCCATGCAGCCTCAACACTCCTGTGAGGTAGATCAGTTATTCTCATTTTGCAGGTAAAGGAATGGAGGTACAGAAGTTAAGTGACTTGCTGACAATCCTACAGTGAGGCAGAAGCAGGAATAAAACTCAGGAGCTCTGATGCTGACCATTACTCTAATTCCTCACCACCACAGCTTCTGCATCCAACTATTCTCAGAGATGCCTGCTTCAGAGCAGGATAGCCCCTTACCAGTCTTAAAAGTGCACAGTTTGCCCCCCCCATCTTGCTTTAGGGAATGTGCCTTGCTGTGGCAGAATTTACAGGGGGAGGGAGGGAGGGGAATTCTCACAGCCCCCACTTCATTTGTTGTTATGAAGATAGGAAGTTTAAGCCCAAGGCAATTCTGTTGGCAGTGGTAGAGGAAGGCCTGCATGAAGAGTCTGGCTGATCCAGCACAGCTTAGCGTTGTGCCCCCTCCCCACACACACACCCTTTCCCTTTAATTGCCAAAAGCACATTTGGTCACTTTGGGCTCTCTATAAGCCTTACTCCACCCCTGACTCTCCTCCACACTCTACCCCTAGGAGAAATGGGTAATTTGCACGTGCACACAATGGAATAACTATCATCCCCAGAAACAACTGGATGGGTCAGGTGCTGCAGCCTTTGGAAGAGCAGCTGTGGAGTGTCTAATACCCATCTCCAAACTAAGGCTTTAGGCCAAGGATCAGGGGCCTCAGTAAAGTGGGCACATGGGAGAGAGGGTTTGCTGGCTGATGGGTTTGCGGATGCACTTGCTGTTCATGAAAGTGAGTCAATAATGCTAGCATGTGGCAGGCACAGAGGAGACTTTGACAGGCCACAGATTCAATCCCACTTGTCAGCCTATCTGATGCAGGAACTGCTTAGGACAGATTGGGGCGAGCGCCACATGAGTTCTCCATTATACCCAGCACCTATTTCAAATACAAGACAGCAAGATGATCAAGGCCACTTGAGATGGAACCTTTCAACAGAGTTCATGGGAGCATCTCTCCCCTGCACAGCACAGGAATCTGCTTATGGCTGGGGACTAGTCTCCTCCCAGCTAAAAGGGGAAGGGCTCCACTGCGAACAGGGGATCACGGGGCTTGAAACTGCATCGCTAGGCATGGAAATTGACGAGCTAGGAGAAAAAGCACGGAGAGTTTCCTGCAACAACCGAACAATCTTATTCTATGGCTTCCCCCCGGGCAGGCTGGCACAGCATCCCCTGAGCAGGAACTCACCAGCATTCCCTTGCAGTACTGTGCTTTCCAGTTGTGGTCGGAGTCCCTTCCGGAGCTATCTTACCACCATACAAATCCCAACCACGCTCTCCCTACCCCCTTCCAGCTACAACTCCATGGCCCACTTGAGCCCAAAAGGAGATGTCACCGGGCAGGTAATGCTCTGCTGGCACTACAGGACGCACTGTGTTAGGGAAACTCACCTACTGCTCTCCAGATCCGCTTGGAGCAGACATGAGAGCAGCTGCCGCTCTAGTGTTATATAATGGGAGGGGGGAAGGAAATGGACTCTTCCTCCCAGCACGTCATTTAATGCTGGGAGCTGGAGAGAGGCAAGTCAGGGGACGGGAGTTGGAGTTGCTGCTTCTACAGATTGGGACCCTGCTGCTTTGGATTTGGACACAGTGGTTTGTGGGCGAGTTTCAAGCTAACCCATCATGCGCAAGTCTAGTTTGCGCGGACCAGTTTCTATCTATTCTAAGTGGAGTCACAGCAGGGGAGGTGCCAAGCGTCCCAGGCTAGAGGAGGCAGCAGGCTCGGAAGAGCAGCATTCCATCCAGGGAGGACAGGTGCAGGGAGACGCTCTCGTTGGCGGAGATGAAGATCACTGAGCCCCGGCGCAGGGTCATTTCAGAAATGGCGGCGGTGGAGGTGCCCACGGCCGTGCCTTGGATCACCAGCAGGATACTGGCAGAGTCGATGGCTGAGATGAGGTACAGCTTAATAGCGGAGGGAATCTGCAGTGGAAACACATTTGGCATGGAAACCAAATCTGGGCTCAAATTCCGATCCACGTTTCTGCCTCCTCAAGGACGCAGCAGGTACTTGCACTCGTGCCTCAGACGACCCCTGGCCCCTGCCTCTGCTCACAGCAGCCCGAGCCCCATGAGCCCTGGGAGATCACAGCATAACCGAGAGCGGCCAAGCTCCAGATGTTGGAGTCAGTCTCTAGCACCCTGTTGAGAGGTGAGCAGCCAAAGACGGTGCAGCGATGCCCGTGCAGCTGAGACAGCACCAGGAGAGGGAGGGAGGGAGACAAGTGAATGGTAGAGCACAGCAGGAAGAGGGGAAAACCAACAGTGGTGCAGCCTGTCATTACCTCCCTCAACCGAGAGCACGAGGCCTAGCTAAACACCCCCAGGTCTCAGCTCTGCGCGGCCTTCTAGCTCTGACACCAGGCCAAGCACTGAGCAAAGAGAGCGGCTTGCTCTGTTTAGCACCTCCTAGTGCTGCTCAGACTGGGACTTGGCTGATAACATGTGACCCAGGAAAGGGGTGGGCGTATCTCCCCCAGCCCTGCATTCAAAGCAAAGTGAAACTTGTCAACACCAGCGCAGCAGCAGGATGGGGGAGGGGGAAATGGAGCAGGACCCAGAGGCATAGAAGGCAAAGCTCCCTGGAGGACATGGGACACTCTGGCTTCAGGGGGCAGGATGGGTAGACACACACCATCATCTGTCCCAGAGCCAGCTAGCTGAGTCCAGTGATACTCAAGAGCTGCAAGTGGCTCTTTCATATCTCCTGGGGCTCTCTGCAGGGCCTGATATTAAAACACTGTGATTTAATTATTAGCCAGTCTACGTTATTAACCAATCAGGATGCTTTTACTATGTTATTAACCAATTAAGTTATCAACTTGCACTAAGTTATTAACTTATTTGCTGTGAGAATAATATATATTAAAGAACCTACATATTTCCCATCATACTGTTTAAATAGGACTGTTTAAATACATCATACTGTTTAAATATAGTATTATAACCAGGTACTACTGTGGGTCTTTTGGGTAACGTTGGTCACTAATGTGGGTACTGAACCACTGAGGTCTGAGTATCATTGATCTCCTTATCCCAGCGCCTTATGGTCTCAAAGTAGCACAGTGTGGCTTGTCCCAGTTGAGCTGACCCCATGATCCTACCTCTAGTACAGGAGGTGGGAGGGAAGGGGGAACTCCGACCGGCTGGGGAGGGGATGCAGTGATCTCATCTCAGGTCAAAGCATTGGGGGGGAAGGGGATAAGAGTTGGATGTTAATGGGCAACCCAACTGATGTATGTGTTTTTTTCCACTCCTTGACTGGGAAGGAGTCTCTTCCCTCCCACCCCACGTCACAGTGACATGGCCTTTGGCAAGGGAGGCTTAGGTGTAGCTTTAGCTTTTTGCAAAGCCACTTACTGCTGCTCGTTGAGAGGAATGGAGAAGTTGCTAGAGAGATCCAAAGGCAAGGATGCTGTCTCTGTTTGCTCCCGTTGGAGGAGATGTGGCAGTCTGTCTGATGCTGCTACTAGACCCCCTTTTCCCCCAGTTAATTTGCTGATCCAGGGTCCCCACTCACCTCTATTTTCATGACGGTGAAGTCTGGCACAGGCGGGTCATAGAGGTAGACACAGGGATCCAAGCGGCTCTGCGTGGGGGCAAAGACCTTGGAGCTGCTGGGTGCTGGGTTGTAGTTCAGCATTTCACACAGGGTGAGCACGTCAATGAATTTGGGCGTCAGGCCGGCTCGCACGGTATTGTCGGAGCATGCCATGCACTCGATGCAGTCTGGGGAGCAAGGAGCACAGTGTCAGTGCAAGAAGGTGGGACCCTCCCGATCAGAAGCCAGGTGTCTGAACTCGGCTCCAGCAGGCTCCAGGCAGGAGGAAAAGCCTTCGTCCCTTCACAGCGGGAGAGACTAGGGATGCCTGGCTCAGGGAAACGTGCCATCCCATCATCTCAGAGACACTGAGTAAGAGAACACGTCCTCCACACACCCCACAAACAGCTGCTGTCAATGCCAGGCTGGGCACCTATGGGGTAGGGGAGCAGGTGGCAACATTGAGCCTGAAACACCTCCCTCCACAACACATCAGAAAGCACGATCCGAGCGGCAGCCTCTCACTCCATTGTCCGTGGAGACACTTAGTGGCGACCTCACTGGAAAAGGCCAACGAGCCACCCAGTTTGGTATCCCGGGTCCCACAATGGCCAAGGCAGGGTGCTTGAGATAAGGTGTAACCTGGAGATCAGCGTAAGTCATGGATCATGATGATTGGCAGCGGCAGCCTTACCGTAGCCAGGGTTACAAAGTGCCCATCCCATTATAGGAGCCACTATCCACCGATGAGTGGCATCACAAATGCTATTATTCATAACGGTCTCAATAGCATTGGCGAGGCACGGGAACACACCCGCCCAGCCAGCACTCAAACTCACCTCCATAGAGGTAGGCATGAGGCTCGTTGGCTCCCAGGAACATGGACTCTCCTGGCTGCAGCATCACCAGGTTCAGGAAGTAAATGGCAAAGCAGCCGATGTCTCCCGGGAACTGCGAGTGCAGCTGCAGCAGCAGCTTCCCGCTGCTCCCCGAGGTGTCCTTCCCCGCAGCAACTGTGGGGGACAAGGGCAAAGCCAGGTTAGCAGCAGCCCCACAACTTAGTCCCTTCTGCGAGAGCCCCTGCTTTGCTTACAGCCCGCTAGCGGAGGCAGTACAGTGCTGCCAGCCCAGGGGTCAGGTGTCAACGGCTTTGGGGTTCCCCCAAACCCTCCTCATCAGGAGGCCAGGGCAGGCCTGGACATTTCCGGCTGCACATCTGAGTCCCTCCAGATCCCCAGAGATGAGACGAGCGAGGACAGGTGGCCAATGAGGGATTCAACCTGCCTGGGTGTGGTTATGAGTCAGACCTGATTAGCCACATGAGCCTCACCCAGATCCATCCACTTCCAGAGAGACAGGGTCCAATGTCCCCAGGCTCTGCTCTTGGGTGGGCTGGCTGGCTTTTCCCATGCGGGATCATATAGTCAGAGTATAAGGCCAGAAGGAACTGATTACCTAGCCTGACCTCCGGTAGATCACAGGCCACCCACCCCACCCTGTCTCACTAAACCCAACAATTGATCATGGTGGAGAGAGGCTGCTAGTGGCCTGTTCTCTCCCACAGGGGCATCTCCTGGATAGCAGAAATGCTTACTCCCCACCCCCCCAGACACAAACCCTGCCAGCTACGATACATCACCACACACCTGGACCTACCCCTTCACTCCACTTCCAAAGCCCTCTGCCCACCTGCCCATTCCACACACATGCCACACTCTCCCCAGCATCCAGCGGCTCCATCCTTTCTTTCTCATGTCCCAGTCCTCCCAGGGAAGGAGAGGAAGAAGGTGGGCATCCAGGGACAGATACTCATCTCCATATCTCCTTCCCCACATTTCCCACTCCAGCCCCTCCCTCCTCTTCCAGTGGGGAGCAGCAGGTCAGGAGGGGCATTCTCCCGCATCCAAGAATGGCCTTTTGGAGCTGATCCTCCTCCTCCTCCTCCCCGCTCCTGCTCGAGCAGAGACTGGGGCAACCTCACTTGGCCTGAAACTCCTTCATTAGAAAGGAGGCCTCTTTGGCTTGGCTCGCACTTCCCCTCCATTGGCATAAAAGGGCTCCTTTGTATTTCCGCTCTGGGAGCCTCCCCGACAGAGCCCCAGCAACCTAGAGGAAAGAGAGACTGCCGAAGATCTGGCATAAGCTTGGGGGAGGGCAGTGTGAGCCTGGCAGACCAGGTGCCAACTCATGCCAAGGTGCAGGCCTCACTGCACACTGACAAATGCAGAGCTGGAAACCAGTCTGGCTCCCTGTGGGTTACGATAGTGAAAACAGATACGAGAATTATAAGAATGAGGTTAGTGTTTAGATTGTGTGGAATGCTTGCAGGCTGCTGCCTGCATTAATCCTACTTGTAGTATCTGTACCCCATGGTATAAGGTAATGGGTGTTTGCTAGAAGTGTAAAATAAAAAGAAAAAAAGGAGGGACAGTAAGGAGAGACATCACCAAGTGTGAAGTGCCAGTTTACCACAAGAGGTGTCATCTCTCCCCAGCCTGGCCTCTAGACACCAGACAAGCCATTGTGGAACATCAGTTAACAAAAGACTTTGGCGATTGCTCCCCCCACACCCGTGAAGAGGGGATATGCACAAGCCCGCATCCCATCACAGCTTCAAAGCTGGGGGAAGGGCATAAAAATCCCTGCCAAGGAGGAATTGTTATGACTATGCTGCCTGGAATTCAGAGAGGGCAATAATTCTAAGCATAGGCATAAGCATGCTATGACTTGGGTTAGCCCTAAAGGACATATAGAGCTTGCATATTACAGCACGCGTCTGTTACCTTTTGAAACCTAAACCTGTAACTCGTGTATGTTTACCTGCTTTAACCTTGTAAATAGCTCATTTCTTTTTCCTAGTTAATAAATCTTTAGTTAATCATAGGACTGGCTACAAGCATTGCCTCTGGTAAGAGATCTAAGGTACAATTGACCTAGGGTAGGGACTGGGAGTAACCTGAATATTGTTGGGATTTTGGGCGCAAGGGAGCTTGTATCACAAAGACCGGTTTGCAAGACAAACTGGAGTGCCCCAGTGTCAGAGACTCCATGTTAAGGCTGTTTTAGGGCTTTACGAGTTCACACTTGTTAGGTGGTTGGTGAAATCCATGCATAGGACTCACAGCTAATTTGGGATTTGCGCCCTGCTTCTTGACAGTCTGCCCTCACTCATGGTTGTGGGCCATGCCACACAGACGGACACTCCTCTCCTACTGCTTGTCGGGCAAACACTTGCTGGGTTGGTTCAAGGAGCAGATCAGCCTTGACGGGAAAGACCACGCTGGGATAGAACAAGCTCCTGCCAAGAACGCTCAGAGCTTTGCCCTGCTGGTGCAGGGAGGGCAGGAGGCAAAATCCTCTCCATGCTTGCTATTCTTTGGTTATAAATACACATGCGCACTCCAGGCCCACATGGCTGCTCCACTCAGTTTATTTTTACTGGATAAACTATGCACAGGGAGGGATCTGAAGCCCCTGGTGTTGTCCCCAAGCCAAAACGTTACTCGTGTTCAGTGCTGAACTCACAAATCAGAGGCCTTTCGTGGTGGTATTGCTCCAGGGCAACTTACACAGCGCCTGTACAAATACAGAGGGAAGGGCTGAACTGCAGCCACTTTGGGAACGCGAACACCCGCAAAGCTTCCCAGGGCAGGCAATGAAGAGGTGTCACACTCAGGTAAAAGTCAGAGGGCGGAGCGTAGGGACCCAAGACCGATCGCTGTCAGGACGCTAGGGCTACACATGCGTCTCACAAGTGACTTAGGATCTTTAACACCCCCAAGCAGTCAGGGACCACATACCCCACCGTGCGCTCAGCTGATCCGTCCTCTCAGGGGTTGTATGGTAGGGAATATGGTCAGGCTCGGGGGCTCTGTCTCATAAAGCTCCTGTTCCAGGATGGCCTGCCCCTTTAAAGGCCAGATGCTAGCCAGCCCTGTTCAATCAGCCCTGCCTAGGCCACAATTAGCTGCCTCCCAGTGGGAGTCAGGTGGCAGCCTGATAAACACCAGGCCTCACAAGGGGCAGGGAATTTAGTTTGGTGAAGGAACTCTAGGGAGCAAGTCCTGACTTCGGCTGGAAGGACACCAGGGAAGTGGCTCGGGAGTCAGCACTTTGGGTCTCTCCACTCGGGGATAAAGGGAGCCCAGAAGGCAGGCTGAAGAGGAGCCCAAGTTAGGCAAAAGAACTTTGTTTGGACATTTGTTACCCCAGAAGGGGAATGAACTCAGAGTGACCCAACCAGAGGATTAATCCACGAATGTCCAGGACAGACAGGAAACCCTGGTGAATGGAAACTGAGGCAGGGAATGGCAGCAGGGCCACGTTTGGCCAGCAGGGGGCTCTACAGGACAGGTGCATCCTGTAGCCACTCCCCATTTCACAGACTGTCACTGGCCAACCAGCAGACAGCTAGGTCTCTCCTACATGAGCAAAGCAGCGTAGAGCTCGGAGGTTGTGTGCACTTCAGGGGACGTTTCCTGCCTCTGATGGCGAACCTGCTTTCCCCAAGGCGCTCTGCCTGGACTGGAATGGCAGGGGGAGATGGTGCTGTTCCTGCAGGGAGGCGGCTGACAATGTAACAGCCTCAGCTAGCACCCACGAGACCAAACACCAGGAAGCAAAGGGCACAGCCCTTGGTTATTCTGCAGCAAGGTTGGTCGGCTGCACTGTGGGAGGGATAGTCCAAAGACTGGAGCTGGGGAGGAGCTGGCAGTGAAACTTGCACTCTGTCCTGTGTGTCATGCCCTCTCCACCCCTAGCGAACCCAGACATTACACCCAATATGATCACCCACCCACCCAGGGCGTTGTTAAAAGCCCTGACAGTGAGAGCCAGTCAGTAACTACAAAGATGCTGCCCCCTCTTATCCACTCCAAGATGCCTGCTTGCCACCAAAGATCCATGGCAGCTCCATCCCCTTCACTAATCCAGGGCATTGCCAGGGTCAGCATGGGGCAAGGATCCATGCAGGTAGCCTCTCAGTCGTCCCAGCTCCAAGGGACTTTCCTCCCCCTGGACGGACAGGAAGAAGAGACAGCCACATCCCTGACACACATATACCCCACCCCCGGGACGCGGGGCTCTCCATGTCACGGGCAGGCGCCGAACAAACCTTCCTGGGAAATCCTCTTCACCAGCATGTTCAGCTGGTCCACAAAGACCTTCTTTTCGCTCTTCATCATCCTGGTGAAGCAGATCCGCAGCGCAGCAGACACGCCCCGGGGGTCATTGCACACGCTGCGCTCCAGCTGCTCCGCTGCCACGTTGCCGATCAGCGCCCGGAACTCGGGGACCTCTGCAAAGGGCAGGTGCCTGTCAGGGGCCCAGGCTGGGGTAGGATAGCAGGGGCAAACCCACCCACTCAGCTACCCCCACAGGGATGGGCTGCTAACACCACGCCCCCTTTTACAAAGCGTCTGGCTTAGGGTCACAGAGCTGGCCATAGAAGCCAGGAGCCCCTGCCCCATCCCTGCCTTCCCAGGGCCCAGCTTTGCACTCTGGTGCACACTTATGCATTTAAATCTCTGTTTTAGGCACCTGTGTTTGAAAAGCCTGTAGAAGGGATACAGTAACTGCCAACATGAAGGTGCTAGCCCCAGGTCCAGGCTGGCTTAGTGTCTCCGAGCTGCTCTGCTGAGCCTTATCCCAGGTGATGTTCTGCATTACGAAGCTAGGGCAGCAAATGTGCTGCTCCTGCCATCCGGCAAGGGCAGCTTCCCTTCGGGGGGAGAGGGGCTCAGCAATGGAGCAGCCCCCATAATCACGGCTGGTCAGTCGGAGTGATCAGCCCCCTGCAGGCAGGCCCAGGACGCTGAGGAAATGCAGGTGCACTCCCCTGAGAGGGGAGTGCAAGACTGGGGCCTTATGCATTGGCATTTCTCCTCCCTGCAGGGCTCTGCTTGGAGGGCCACCGCCAGGGGCTGGAGGATGATATGTCCAGCCCAGCTTCAGAGATACATTGAAGGGGATCTTATTAACCCCTGCAAGTGCTCAGCCCTCCCCTTTTGCCCCACCCCGCCACCATAGCATCTGACCCTCTTTGTCGGCAGTCCCAAGCTTGGGAGCTCTTTAGCCCCCCCTCTCCTGCCCTGCCCAGCACATCCCCAGCCAGCAGCACCACCTGGTGCTTACTCTGCAGAAAAGCCACAATTTCCTCCACGGGCCGGAAGCCACACATGCCCTGGAACGGGGTCAGCGCAATGGCCATCTCTGGCTTGTGATTGGCATCTGGATAGTGCTCAGGAAACTGGGCGTGAAGCTTCCCCGCCAGCTCCTAGAGAGGAGAGACGAGGACAAAAAGAGTCAAAGCCCGGGCGATCCCCCCTCAACAACTAGGTCCCTCCTCGCCAGCTCACGCGCTGGGAGGCTGCATCCTGGGGAAAGAGATCCCACAGGGCTTCGGGTATGCCAGCAAATGGATTCAATGAGGAGAGCCAGTCCTGCCCCAGGGGTCAGAGTGACTCATCCCGGGCAGAATTCTCACTCCCTGGGCTCCCTCACTGCACCATCTTCGTGGCTTCCCAGAGAGGGGCTACGGCTAGCTACATACCAGGCTTTAGCCCAAATGCCCAACCAGTGAAACATTCCCACTGAATCCCCCCACCTACCTCTCTTCTCTGCCCACTGCTGCGGCCCCCACCAGGACACTTCAGCACCGCAACTGCACATTTAAAAACACAGGACGCTGAGGAAATGCAGGTGCAGCCAGCAGACACGGCAACACTGCAGCACCAAGGAGATCTGGGATACAAGCACAGGCTAGCAAGGGCTGGGCTGATGTCCCCTGCGTTTAGTCCGCTGTGCACTTCTCACCAGGCTGAATAGAGGGGGCTCGGTAGTAGGCATTGGCACTTGCTGCTGAGCTGAAGGCTTCCTGTCAAATGACTCTTTCTGCATTTCTAATTTAAAGCTGCTTTTTGATATCAGATGGGAACCAGTTGCTGAGATCATAGCACTTAACACCCCTCAGCGAGAGCTCCAGCCCCATGCTCTGCCCAAGAGGAGCGTAGTCGTTCTCCCGTGCTTCATTCAGTTATTTCCTCCCCAGGAAATGGGTGGAGAACAAACATCTCAGGGGCGAGGGCCTAGCCTTATGACGCAAAAGGAATGTTTTATTGCCCTCATGCCCTCTTCTTGTTATAGAGTAATACAACAGCTCCTCAAACGAGCAGTCAGAGCTGGCCACGACACCCAGTGGCTGATTCAAGCCCAGTATTTAGGTTTTGTACAAAGAGCTTTTAACAAAAGTTTATGACCAACAGAACTGTTGCCTTATGTTTAAAGCCCCTCGTACGCAACATACACTGGCTGATCTGCATTAAGCTATTACAATTCATAGTCGCACAAAGCAGCAGTGTACATAGGAGCACTGCCAGGGCCCGATCAGGCTCACTGCTCAACATGCCAGACCGGCATTAGATGCTCAGGGGGCCTGACTGGGCCAGTTGTAACAGGCGAAAGGTCAAAGACGACTGGTGCTGAAGTAGACACCTAGGCCTCACCCTTACACTACACCTGGATGGGTGCTATTTCAACGGTAGCCTATTGTGCAGAGGACACAACAGACACTTATGTTCCTGTTGTTCTTATTTCTGTGCATCGCACTGGGCGTGTCCCTATACTGAGGGAGGCAACTTGGGAGAAGCAGTGAAGGCGTTTTACTGAATGACCTGTTCTAACATAGAGCTACTCTGCCATGTGCTCCATGCTCTGTCACAGCCATTGAGACCAATGGGGTCAAAATACAATATGACCTGATGGTGACATGGAAGGGCTCCTTCTCAAGACCTAGAGGCCATGCTGTGTTCTTCCCCTCCAGCCACCACAGCACGTTTGGGGCATCCATGCAGGTGAGAAGCAAGATGCGTCTCATCCCAGGGGGGCTGGATGAGTGCAAGTTGAATGGTACAGAACAAGGAGTAATGGTCTCAAGTTGCAGTGGGGGAGGTTTAGGTTGGATATTAGGAAAAACTTTTTCACTAGGAGGGTGGTGAAACACTGGAATGCGTTACCTAGGGAGGTGGTGGAATCTCCTTCCTTAGATATTTTTAAGGTCAGGCTTGACAAAGCCCTGGCTGGGATGATTTAGTTGGGGATTGGTCTTGCTTTGAGGTCTTGACCTCCTGAGGTCCCTTCCAACCCTGATATTCTCTGATTCTAAGGGGGGATTGTTTTTGTATCTGCGCTGGCTTTGGAGCAAGGTCTGTCTTTAGCTATGCTCTGTCAGGTACCAAGCAGCCTCTGGGCATAGAGTGCAACAGCCAGGTGTTGGCAGCATCTGCAACCGTTCCAGAACTCAGTGAGTAGGGGACCATGGCAACCGTTCCAGAGCTCAGTGGGTAGGGGACCATGAACATGGTGCACTCCTGAGCATCATGCCACGAGAGCAGTCCTGGCTCAGCAGCATAGCTTACATCAGGGACATCTGCAGAGAGGCTGCCTGCAAGACCCCAGCAGTGCACTCAGAGGGGGTTCAGAACAGCTTCTTACCTTATTGGGATGGGCCTGTATGGACAGGGCTGTGTTAACCGACAGCACTTTGAATAGGAAAGGCAACTGGCCCTGGAAAGTCTCCTTGACCTTGGATCCCAGGCATCCAGGATTATCTCCTATCCACTGTCCTAAGGTCTTCTGGGGAATTCGATTATCCAGAATAACAGCATCGCCTCTGGGGTGGGTTCCCATCCAGAGCTGGAACAGGCATTTGTGGGATGGAAAAAGAGGGACAAGACAAAGCCATTAGCATCTCCAGCATGGTTCTCGACAGGCTTACAAAATAGGCCAAACAGACAGGGTCAAGGAGAGGGGGAAAGGAGGTAGGGTTGTCTGTACTTGAATTCTCAGCTTTTGCTTCCTGCTACAGTTCAGACTGAATATCAGCATCCCCCTTAGTTTCTAAGCGCATCTCTCACATCCACCCACCTACAATTATTTCCTCATCTCCCAGCTAGGTCAAAGTATACAGAGGTCTGATCTGCCAGGCTTGATCTTGATCTTCTCCTCAGTGCCTTTTGAAACACAAGAATTGCCACAGTGGTGCAGACCACCATTCCATCCAGTCCAGTACCCTGCCTCCCGCAGCAGCAGATATGCAATGTTTTAAACAAAGACCAGGTCCCCCATACCCACCCACCCCTTCCCCTTTGCCCACTCTGTCAGCATTGCACTGCAGCGAAGTGCAAGGAAAAGGGATTCAAATTCCTGCCTGACCTCAGCTGGTGATCTGCTTATGCCTTGAAGCATGAGGATCAAGAGCACACTTGCCACTATAGATTCTATTCATGTGTGTAATAGCTGCAATGTTCCAAAGGAAGAAGCCAACTTTTGGCCTCAGTCATGAGGGTGGAGACAGGGGAGGGAAAGTGGCTGACTCTGGGATCTCAGCAAAACCTGTGTCACAGAAGAAGGGCAGAGAGAGGGAGCTGGAGGCTTACCTCAGCATATGGCTTGTCTGGATCGATCTGTGCCAGTGGATCACTGCTAGCCAGCAGCTTGGCCACTTCACTGTCCAGGCCAATCTTCCCCCAGGCATATTTCTGCACAACGCAGGACAGGGGAAACACTAAGCAAACACAAAAACAAAGGGTTATCCAAGGACACGGCAGGCAAAAATCACCGACTCACAAAATGGCCTGACATTGCCAAATCCCGGCCACCTGGCTCCCCCGGCTAAAATTCCTGTCCGTACTTTGACCCCCCTCTTGCCTCCACTGCTGCAACCTTCTCCCCTCTGGGAAGCTGCACCCTCCAAAATATTGTCGCTCAGATCAATGCAGCATCCCATCCACATTCCTCTTTCGGCTCCTCCATCAAATTCAAGCTCCCCATCTCTAGGTCTCTGCACAACTTATCCTGGCCCCTAACTGCCCTGTGTCCTTCTCCCACGCTCATCCTCATGCTTCCTCCAATGCTGTTCCTCATACTCAGAGCAGTCTTCCTCTCCCATACACCCAAACACTTTCCCCTCCTGAAAACTCACTTCTTCCATTAAGACTTTTAAACAACATCCACCAGAGAAAACGATGGATTATTAGGATTAGTTGTATTACAGTAGCCCCTAGAGGCCCAGGAGAGACCATTTTTATAGATCTGAATGGTCCTGCGTCTCTAATTTAGAACACACGATCCTTGGAGCTGCGATGATGTGTTTTGCAGAGCATTGAGCACATGCTAATGGCATGGTTCTACAGCTCCTCCACGTCAGCTCATAAGAGCATAAGAACGGCCGCACTGATCCCTCTAGTCCAGTATCCTGACTTCCAACAGTGGCCAGTGGCAGATGTTTCAGAGGGAATGAATGAACAGAACAGTTATAGAGCAATCCACCCACTGTCATCCAGTACCAGCTTCTGGCAGTCAGGTTTAGGGTTGCCAGAACATGGGGTTGCATCCCTGCCCATCTTGGCTAATGGCTATTGGAGTACCAATCCTCCACGAACTTATCTAATTCTTTTTTGATCCGTTATACTTTTGGCCTTCATAACATCCCTTGGCAACGAGTTCTACAAAGTGACTGTGTGTTGCGTGAAGAAGTTCTTCCTTCTGTTTGTTTTAAACTTGCTGCCTATTAATGTTACTGGATGACCTTTGGTTCGTGGTAAATGAAGGGGTAAAGAACACTTCCCTATTCATTTTCTCCACACCATTCATGCTTTTAGAGCCTTAGTTTTCTCAATACCCTCCAGTCCAAACCCACATGCTCTGGTCTAGCACCACACAGTCCAGTTCTACGCATGTCCACTACCTCAAGTCCAGTATGTTTCACTGCAAGACAATTTCAGTTTAGAGCAACAAATGTCGGTGAAAGATCTGTGCCCCAGTGTAAGACATTCAACTATTCCAAGAGCCTCCAGCTCCAAAACTGGCCAAACCTCCTCCCCAACATGGTTTAAAGTGTGACTGTGTAAATATTGTATTTTCCACTGAATGCATCCGATAAAGTGAGATGAAGCTCACGAAAGCTTATGCTCAAATAAATCTGTTAGTCTCTAAGGTGTCACAAGTACTCCTTTTCTTTTTGGGTAAATATGGCATCCTCACACCCCAGATCTGCCTCGTTGTCTTTGAGTCATGCCTGCTGAGCCAGACAAAAATGTGTTTACACTGCCATTCGCACAGCCCACACAGTAGTGGGAAGGTAAGCTGACTTCCACTCCTCCTCATGCGTCAGTCACATTGCTGATAGCAGAATCTTTGATCTTCGGGGTCCTAAGCAGACTTTGCAGGCCTGGCTGAACCTGCGTTCTTGGATTCACCAAGTGCTCACGCAGGGCTTGGCATCCCTGGTAGGCCTCGAAAACTCTACTTGCCAGTGCTAAGCAGGAAACTTTCCCTAACAAGTGGAAAGGGACAAGGAAGAGGAGGGTGGAGTAAGCAAAGCCATTGATTTCTGCAGAATTTAAGCTTTCGTCAAAAAAAAACAAACAACCAACCAAACCCTTATTTAACTCCATATACTACAATGATGGGGACCACAGGAGAGCCTGGACAGACAGAGAGGGTGGGAGCGACACATGGCACCTAGAAAATCACAGGAACGACACTGTGATCCACAGAGCTGTTGGGCCACTAGGCTCCTATACAATGAGTGGAGATAGGCACCGTAGAATGCGATCCACAAAAGCCAGCATGCTAGGCGAGGGGCCGCCTACAACTATCAATGGGAGATGTTGACAAGAAATGATATGAACAGGCATCTCCCACCTGTTGGGAGAGTGTGCTAAGCACTGAGCTATGGGATAGTCTGATATACCCTATATATATATATATATATATATATATATATAGGGCCTCCCTCAGTCTCTCCTGTTCAAGCTGTTCCATTGTGGATAAATAATTAAAGAGTGATTGGAGCAGAGGGCCAGAACCCGGGACCTCCCACCTTCTTGTAGAGTGCCCGAACCAGCGAGCTACAGAGTTTGTCTCTCACATGGCAGTTTTGTGGATGGCAGAGGTGTGGGCAAAGACCATGACACCCATTTTCCACACACAAACGGAAGTACAGAGGAGAGGCTGCACCAACACCACATGTGGAAATCAGCAGCACTCAGGAATAGAACCCAAGAGTCCAGACCCCCAGCCTCTCCCCACAAACCAACGGACCCCAATCCCTTTCCAGAGACAGGAATAGAAGCCTGGAGTCCTGCCCCTGTACCTTCCCTTCCCACCCACCAATAGAACCCAGGAGTCCTGCCTCTCAGCCCCCCATCAATACACCTTTCATGTGAGACCCAGGAATAGAACCCAGGCGTCCTGCCCCGCCCCCACAGAACCCAGGGCGGTGCTACCCCAGCCCCAGGGACGCCTGGCCTAGGAGCCTGGCGGTGACCTGGCGGATTCCCTGCCGGCATAGGAGGTGCCATGTGCCCCGCTCTGCAGGGAGCCGGCCGCTGCCCCCAGACGCTGCCGCGAGGAAGGCGCATCCCCGGACGGGGGTGTCTGAGCAGCTGGGGCAGGTTCGAGCCCAGCCCCTTCCCCAAGGCCATGGGACCCACCCGCCCAACATCCCCGCCAGAGCGGCTCGGCCCCGGCCGCCGCTCACCTCTCAGCTCCGCCATGGCTCCGCCTGGTGCCCGCTTCCCCAGCCTGCACCGCCCCGCCGGCCGAGCCAGGGGAGATCCGGGATGGAGCGGCGGCCACGCCCCTCCCGGCCCGGGCACGCTGGGAGAGGTAGTTCCCTGCCTGAAGCCAGCAGCGCCGGGGGCAGGGGGCGGAGCCCGGTGTCGTCGGGCCACGCGAGCCCCCCACCAGGGTTCCACTTGGAGGCGTGGCGCCGGCCCCATTGTTCACCCAGCCTGGGCAGGGTCCGCCTGAGTACATGGGAACACCCTCCTCTGTGCATGCGGGCTCCTGCGGGGGAAACCCTTCCCTCACATACATCCTGCCATAGTGTGGGGCAACGCCCTGCGCGCACAGCCCCTCTCCCCACATATGCAATCCTCTTCCTCCCTATATGCCCCCCCTTGTACACAGACTTCCTCCCCATTATATACACCTCTACGCGTGCAACCGGTGTGCACAGCGCCCTTCCTCACTACATACACAAGGATGTGTGCCACCTCCGTATGCACAGCCCCTCTCCCCACAGGCAACCCCCTTCCTCACTATACACAGCCCCATGAGTGCAACCCCCTGTGCACAGCCCCCTTCCGCACTATATACACAAGCATGTGTGCAAACCCGTGTGCACAGCCCCCTCCACACATATACAACCCTCTCCTGTGCAGTCCTCTTCCCCACGATACACACCCCCTGTGTGCAAAGCCCCCGTCCCCACTATATACAGCACGTAGCATGTGTGCAGTTCCCTTCCCCACGATCTACACCAGCATGTGTATAACGCCCCTAATACGTGCGCGGCCCCTTCCCCACTCTATGGAGTCTGTGTGCAACCCCCCTTGTGCACAGTCCGCTCCACCAGAGGATATGCAACCCGCCAGTGCGCGCAGCCCCCTTCCGCACCATATCAAGCCGCCCCATGTGTGCAAACCCCGACCTGCCCAACCCTTTCCCTCTCCCCACTATTGGTAGCCTATTGTTTGTACAGCCCACCCACTTCCCTAGGTATGCACAACCTCCCAGGCGCGCCGCCCCCTTCCCATAGCAACCTCCCGTCCTACCACACCCGCCCCTCATGTAACGCCAGGCCCCGCCCCCACGCGCGCAACCCGCTCTCCCTCAGGTACTCGAGCGCACGCGCACACTCCCGCGCGCCGTCAGACAGACGTTACAACGGGCCCCGCCGGCGCGCGCGAACCTCGCCGCGTCTCTTTCTCCTGGCGGCGCATGCGCTAGGGTTCACCCCGCTTGTGAGGTCACAAACTCTGTTTGTCACGTAAAAGAGACAAGTCGATGCCCCGCCCAGACTGAGTGGGGCGCACGCGCAGTCTCGCTCCCGGAAGTGTCCCGTTCCCAGGGAGCAGGAAGCGAGCGAACAAACGGACGAGCCGGGCGGGCGGCGTAGGCAGGGAGTCGGACGTTGACCCTGACCCTGACCCTGCCATGTCGGCCTACGACACCAATCCGTTCGCCGACCCGGTAGACGTGAATCCCTTCCAGGTGGGAGAGCGCGTCCGAGCCCCGCGGCTCCCCGTCCCCTGCCCCACCGCCAGGACGTGGCGCTGAGCGAGGGGCCGCCTGCCAATGGTGGGGCCGCTGTGATCCGCGCCGCCCAATCAGGGGCGAGAGGGCGGGACTGATGGGGGCATAGGGGAGGCCCGATCCTGTGGGGCTGTGCCAGCCCCGGGGGAGTCCCAGGTCTGCGACGCGTATCGGGGGAGGCGGGACCCAGCAACAAGTCGGGGAGGTTCAACGCTGCCCTGCCCTGCCCCCCCTCCCCACCCCAGTACCTGCCCCATCAACTCTCCGTTTCTCCCACTCCCCCCTCGGGGTCCCTGGCCCGTGCTCCACCCTCCCCTAGCGCCACAGCCTGCCTGGTGCCTGCCGCTTGTGCGCTCCCCTCTCGGCTCTGTACAGTCTGGGGGGCCTAGTTCACCCACCTCGCAGTGCCATGCACCTCACCCGCCATGCACCTCAGAGCCCCCCTTTCTGCGGCCCTGACCCAGCAGGACACTGCTCCAAGTCGCAGCCCTGCTGGGTTAGGGCATGCTCAGTGCCTTGGGAGAAGTAGGCATTGGCTGGGACAGTGACAGGCTACTGGTTTTGCAAGTGGTTCACAGGTGTAGCTCCCATTGGCTTTTCTGGGTGTTGCAACCACATACGTGAGGGCAGGCTTAGGCCTTAGTCTCATACACAAATATAGATGAGCAAAATGTAAACCACTGATCTAAATTAATCTGAGACCGCATTATTTGTATTACGACCCCTGCTGAGAGGAGAGCCTCCATTGTGCTCGCTGATATTCCATACACATAAGAGATGCTCTCTGTTCCAAAGAGCTTACAATCTAAATAGACCAGACAAAGCGTGGGAGAACAGTAATAGTATCACTCCTGTTTTATAGAGAGTTAAGCAACTTGCCCAGGGTTATGCAGGAAGTCTGTGGGAACTCTGGGAACTGAACTCAGATCCAGTGTATTAACCACAAGATTGTCCTTCCTCTTTTACCTTCTTGAAGCTTATCTTGGGAAATAGTCTTTATTAAGAACAGACACTGTATTTCAAGTGCATCCATGTCCTGTGGCCCCTTTTAGGAAAGATCACTGTTCCTTTTGTATTTTAAGGGCTAGTGGTTCCCAATCTTTTTGAGCAGCTATTTCCACTTATTAGGTTAATATGTTGGCTGTACCAGCCAGTGCTGGCTGTCTCCCATTCAGTTACGCTGGCAGTCACCCACCATATTGTGAAAATATGGTTTGTAACTGGGCCAGCTCTGTCATAGACACCTTGTGGCATGTTCTCCATTTACTGTAACCAGTTCTATGTTGGAGCGTACACAGCAGTGTGAGTGAGAGGAGAATCAGGCCCATTGAATGAGTGTGTGCAAGTGAATGGGAGTCGATCATGGGACAGTATTAGGATGTAGTCATCGAGGCTCATAGTCTACCAGCATTGCCTCGTCTACATGCATATTCTTGTGGTAAATGTGCATACCATGCTCTTGGTTCAAAGAGCGCACACTTTCTTTCTGCAAAACTTATTCTGATGAGTGAATGAGACATTAAAATCTCTCTGGGTGTACATGACATGGTGTCAGTTACTGTGATGCAGTGGTACAGGAGGAAGCTTTAGCAACACTGGATTGCAAGTGTCAGGACAGAGTTGTAGGTGTGTTAAATATTCCTGTCAGATAGTTGCATTGCTGCACTGTGGCATAGCAGCTGTTGGTTGGTTCACATTCTGTGTTGACTTGTGCAATGTTATGTCCATATGCTCTAGGGGTCCTTCTCCTCTGGCAGTACTGCTCAGCATTCAGAGTTAAGTGTGTATTCTAACAGAGGTTTAGCCTTGGCAGCCTAAGAGAAAGGACTTCTTTCTGAGGTGCTCTGGAATCCTGCACATACTCTAGATGTTGCCTGGATTCTTTCTACGCTGAGTTGATGTCTGTGTGTGCTGCCTTGAAACCTGCATTTATTTACCTAGGGAGTTGGTGGAGGGTTCCAAAAACAGTCTGTTGACCCTGAGTAACATGGCTGTAGATGTGAAGATAAATGTTAACACTTCACATTTCAGAAATTTGTTTCTATAAAAAGTTCTTTACCTTTATTACATGACAGAAAAGTATCAGGGTATAACAGGAAGCTGCATCTTGGTGCATATCCTCTTATTTCATAGACAGCTTTTGTGATATTGCAATCTGGTGAGCCAGCAGTAATTAAAATCTTAATAACAAGATTTTGAGTTCATTATAAACACAAGGGGCGTAGAAAGCAGAAATAATCTTGTGCATACTCAAATGAAAACAGAAGTATTTGAGAACTAGAAGTGGCTCATGATTTTTTTAATCACCTTTATTCGGCACATTTAGTGGCTTGGAAATATGGATATTGTCAATTTGCATACGGGGGCGTGTAAATACTCTGTTGGTTTGTGCATCATCATGCTGCCACAGAATCATTGACCAAACCGGGCTGTGCTTGAGTTTAGCTCATTGTTCAAACAATAAGATCAGATTGCCATCCTAGAGTCACCTGCCTCTAGATTCTGTCTTCTAATTTTTTTCAATAATCCACGTAAAGCAGGTGACAGAGGAAGTCGGAGGTGTGTATTTGCGCTGGGTGTATGCCAAAGGAATGCTTTCCATTCCTGCTGAATAACTTCAGTTTCTTATATTCCTTCTCTCCATGCAGTCAAAGATAGCTTCAATTGTCTGTTTTTCCAATGGGGTTCTTATTCATCCACTGTGAGGCTCCTTTTTTGGGGGCGGGAAGGGGCGGTTCTGTCTTATGTGACTAGTATAATATGAACTTTTCTGGACATGCTGTGTCTAATGTAGTGAGCAAGCTGGGGGAAAAGATTCTGATCACTTGTCCAAGGGCAGCTGAAGCTTCAAATTTGGTTGTCTGGCAAGAAAATGGGCTCATCCTAATTTTAAGTCTGTGGTATCATTAAATAAATTAAAACAAAATATTGTAGTGTGACTGTAGCAAAGAATTAAGTCACTTTCTTCTAACACTGAACAAAGAGCTTTATTGGAATCAGAAAAATAGCAGCATCACTTAAGCTTGTCTGTAGCTTCTGACTACAACTTTCCCTGGCCCTCATCCAATCTGATTTCCTGTTGCAGATTAAAAGAAAGGGTACAGATATCTTCACAGTTGTTCCTGTAGTTGTTTAACGACATTTCTTTGCATTCTGCATGTTCTGTTTTGGACTGTGGGGTCAGGGTTTCTCATTCATGTTCTCTGTTTTCTAAAGCGAGTGATTCTCACTTGGGTTTATGTTCAATTTTGTGTTGCTTTAATATAGATGAAAATGCCACTGTCACCAGCAGTCTGATGGACTCAGAAGAGAGCCTATGTAATCTGTTTCAGTTTCAAGTAAAAACTCTAATGGCTAAATAACTCTATACACATTAGAGAGACAAGGTGGGTGAGGTAATAAATTTTATTGCATCAGCTTCTGTTGGTGGAAGAGACAAGCTTTGGAGCTACCAGAGTTCTTACACAGAGCGCAGACCTGAAGAAGAGCTCTTTGTAGCTTGGAAGCTTGTCTCTTTCATCAATAGAAGTTGGTCCAGTGGAAGTTATTACCCTCATCCACCTTATCTATCTAATATCCTGGGGCCAACACTGCAAATAGCTATAGACGTTGTCCATTTGATTGAAATCTAGATCATGGTTATGCAGAATAGCACTAATCCAGTTTGGCATTTTAACAATTCACATATTGTGTTAATGGGCCAATTCTTTATCATACTTTTAATCCTTTAGACAGTATGTGGATTCAAATAATTGAAACCAGATATATGATGGTGGTGGTTGACTGATAGCAGCTTTGGACACGTAGTCCTGAATTTTCTGCAGCTTTGCCCCTGAAGCCCCAGCAGTGTATTTACCCTTTGGGTTTGTCATGCCAAAGGGTACCTTTTGGGCCTCAGTCAGGTTCAGGACTGTCTATTGCTCTGGTTCTCGCACAGCAAACCCTCAAACAACAAGGTTTCTTTTCCTTGATAAGTAGGAGATTTAATTCATAATACTGATAAGGTCAATCATGAAATGCACTGTACACTCATAGATGTGCTTGATTTGATCTCCTGAAAATCTGACTCTCATTCTGTGGTACATTCCACAAAATGACAGCCAAATGACTTTTTGTTAATTTCCCCAGCAACCCAGTATACATGGCAGATCGCTCCAGAGTAGCGCATGTTTGCCTCAAAGGTGTAGATAAGAGCTTGAATCTCCAGCATCCTTTGGGACATAAATAAAATTTTAAATTATAGTCAAAATAAATTCAAATTTCTTAAGAGGGTGGGATAATCTTTTGAAATACAGAATAGCAAGTGCAAAATTGTGACTGATGCCATGGTCAATAACAGCATGGGGAGGATTTTGACTTTACTTAAGCTTACGCACTGTCTACATGAACACCTCTACATTCAAGCCAGCCAGTTGAGATGTGAGCTCTTCTGCCTTCATCTCCGCAACTCCTAAAGCTGTCTTATTACCTTTGTGATTCTATCAGCTGACCCAGATTCCAGGTCTTACCAGAAGAGAGTACAAGTTTCCCATCCTGCACAAACCTGATGTACTCCAATTCTTGCTCAGCCACAGAAGTTTTTGGCTCTATCAGCTAGCACAGTAATAAAACTAGCTTTTTGTATGTATTTGTGATGCTTGCCTTTAAAAGAAACACACGGTCTTTGCAACTGAGTCTCTAAAAGTTTTTTAGTCTGTGTTAGTAAAGTTTGGTCCAAGATCAAGGCCATTTGGGGCTTGCAAACTGCAGCATGAAGTAAAGAACTAAAATCCTGTTTATTGACTGTATATGGGAAGCTAAACAAGGTAGTAAATCTTTGAGTCTCCTCATGGCAGCTCACAGAGCAATCTAGCAATATGCGTCTTGTGAACAAAGTAACACTTTTTGCTTCCATGCGTTTCACGTGAGCAGCATGTGGGGAATGAAAAGATCTTACTCTCGCTTCAAAGGACTGACATTATCAAATTCTTCTTGTACTTTCTAGGAACTACCAAGCATTTCATCTTTCGGATTTGAAACCTAGGGATAGCTTACAATGACTTCTAGAAAGCGTTTCCTAAATCAGCAGCTCCCAAACTTTGATTCACATACCACCTTAAAAAGTTGTCAGGTGAATTGACAGAATATCAGACTCAGAAACCACAGTTTGGGAACCCCTGGTATAAATATCTCATACTTTTAACAGGTTTTAACAACGCTCCACTGTGCCATGTGCTTTAGGAAGTGAGAGAAAGAGATTTAAGTGTAGCCACCTTGGTTCTGTTAGAAACAGAGCAAAAGTTAGGCTAACTATAACCCTAATAACGCAAGACTTGCAAAGGCAGGACTGGGAAAAGCGTATGGAAAATTGCTAAGCTGTCTGACCTTGTTTTTAGACAAAATAGAATGTATTTGTAGCAGAAAATCATTAATAATAATAATAATAAGATATCAGGAAGGAAAACGTATGAACAAAGTGCAATTGCTATTCGTCAATGCCTGTAACGAAAACTACAAATATCTGTGATAAACCGCTTGTTGTTCGGAGACTTGTCTAAGGCCAGGGTAACTCCTGCCTTGCAGTCTCCCCCTGCAATTGCTTGAAATAAAAATTGTCTGATTTATTGCATCCAAACAGAGAGAGAGGATTTGTTTTCTTCCACAGTAGCTACTATGTTCTAACTAACATGTTTTAAAAGTCTAGTGTAGACAAGGCATACTGCCTTCAAGGTGTGCAAAACTGGTCAAGTTAAAGTGTGAGGGGAGCTAATGCATCCTCATGTCACACCTAAATTCTAGCCTAGACAAGAATCCATGTCTCTGATAGGAAAAGGACAGTGCTCTTGCAGGGTTTAAGAGGGTTATTGAGTTTTGTGTGATATGGGAAGGAGGAAGTGTCTGGAAAGGAAAGACATGTCAGAAAGACAAGTCAGAAAACTCTTTTTCCTTTTCCAGGTAGAAGCTGACCAGATTCTTGTTAGCTTCACTTTGCTACTTGGGAAAGCCATGAACAGATGCAGAGAGGGTCTGTCCATGCACTCAGGAAGACAGCACTGTCAGAGTTCACATGTGGAAGGTTTTCTTAGGATTACAAAGGAATAGGAATTGAAACTTTGATTTAAAAAAAGGCTAAATTCTTAAGAAATTGATGGGTTAGGCTCCTTCCTTCCCCCAACCGCTCCATCTCCCAGGCCATTTGTGGTTAAATCCAATGAAGGTGTATTGTCTGCACACTTGGTTAAACTGGTGCTCTTCTTCCACATGTGCTTCACCCTATGGATGAAGTGGTTGAGTAGAACATGCACCCTTTGTTCTGAGAATCCCCTGCCTGCAGAATTGCTCATATATATAGATTCCCTGGAATGTTTCTGGTACCCTATTCTGCCTGGTGAATTCAATTCAGCATCTAAGAACCTGTACCTGTTTCTGAGATTTCATCCTGGAGTGATTCATAAACTTGTGTAACCAGTTAGGCAGGGAGTGTCTAATCTCTAGATGTGTCTAAAGTTACCCATTAAACGGAGCTTTTTTTATATACACTTGATCAGAAAGCTGTACTGGAAGGCAAGAGACCTGCCTACAATATGTTTGAGACAAGTCAATTGGCTTTCCCAGGGTTTACAGCTCTGATGTCATGGAGCTTAATCAACAGGAAACTTGGCTGACCTTTACATATCTGATTTTGCTCTTCCTCCTCCCCTGCCCAGCCTAGCCATTACTTTTTGCCCCATTAACAACAAAAATAAAATGGCTTGTGCTGATAGATACATTGGTTGCTGGAGAGGAGAAAGCACCTTGCTTATGCAGAACTCCAAAGGTAAAATTACATGGCTGTTCAGTTTGTGAGCAAGGCTTCTACAGAGAAGCAACTGTACATAATTTTATCTTTGGGAGAAAGGATGCTTGAGGGTCAGCAGCAGTCAGTGTCTGGGCTGTTAAAGGGAGAACCTTTAGCAAGACACAGCTTTGCTGTGTATACCTGCTTTCATACAAACTGCATCACACGAGACTTGGGTTAAATAATGTTCAACAGAGGGAAGAAGAAAGTTGTCTTCAGAAAAGATAGAGGTTTTGCATAGCAGTATGATTATGGGAAGGGACCAAAAGGAGACTGGCACTGAGTGGAGGAAGGAGAAACTGATACTCCAGCTGAAATCTGGGTTTAAATTTACAAGTATGGTAGTGTGATCAGTTAACCTGAAACCATAGGCTCACTCTTCATAGCTTTTTTGCCTTGTCAGAATGGCTGCTTTGGGAGATAGTTCGGTACTCCAGAAGAGGGCTGCATGAAGCAGTTTGTGGTATCAGATGTCTGTCACCTAGCACACCTTTCTACCTGAAAATTGGTTCAGCTGCTCTCTGCTGCACTTGATTGAGACTCTGTCATCCTGAGGACACTGGAGCCTTATGCAAAGGCAGACTGCAGCATCATCTCGGCATGGACTACCAGTTTCTTCAGCTTTTACAAAAGGCTTCAGGGTAGCTGTTGTCTAGTGAGTAAAGTTCAGGGATGAGAGGAAATCTGGGTCCTAGTTGGCAACTGTGCTGCAGACTGATCTCTGGTAAATTAATCTCTCGGCCTCAATTTCACTAAGTGTTTACGACATGGTATTGCTTTCAGAAGCTCTGATCAGTCACTGGTTTTGTTTAGCTTGACAAATATAAGGAACATGTGGAGCAGGTTGTCTAGAGGCTGTCTCTTTTTTTCCCTTTAACTCCTACCTTTGTCTTAAGTCCCTTTCCCTGTTCTCTTTCAGGATCCCTCAGTGACACAGCTGACACATGCTAACCAAGGCAGCTTGGATGAATTCAATCCCTTCTCTGAGAACTCCCGGCTGGTATGTGGCTCATGTGATTGCACCAAATATCTACATACCTGTTGTTGTATCAGGAAACTGGGTCCTCTGATAGAGGGGACTATAAGATGAATGAGGCATTCACAGATCTGTCCCTACTGGACAGTGACTGTGTTACATACATGCACAATACACTTCTCATGAGACTCCCAAGAGCAGAGCACTGATGAGCTCCCTGCAGGAATTCTCATGGCCAACGCAATCCCAAAGTGGGAAGCAGAACAAGTCTCATGCCAAGGGATATAATTAGGGCCCTACCAAATTCACAGTCCATTTTGGTCAATTTCATGGTCATAGGATTTTTAAAATCGTAAATTTCACAGTTTCAGATATTTAAGTCTGAAACTTCAGGCTGTTGTACCTGTGGGGGTCCTGACCCAAAAGGGGGCCATAGAGGACGCTGCAAGACTATTGTAGGGGTTGCGGTATTTCCACCCTTCCTTCTGCACTGCTGCTGGCGGCAGCTCTGCCTTCAGAGCTGGGCTCCTAGCCAGCAGCCTCAGAGCTACCTATAGCTGGGGGAAGTTCTCAGAGATAGGTCTGACCTGGCCCAGGGAGCGACCCCTATAGGGGAAGAGGAAGTCCCATCCCTCCCCAGCCTGGCTGGGACTAGCATCCGGAGACCGGAGCATGGTAAGAGCCCCCAGCCCTGCCCCTTCCCTACACTAGCCAGATTTCACAGGGGAGATCAGATTTCACAGTCCATGATTCAGAAACATAAAATAAAGATGCTTATGCAGGATGGTGCCTGGTGTTCCTGGGACTCCAGATCTGCCTTCCAATTTGGCACACACCTACTTGAAGGCACTTTGGTGTTCAGCGATTCCCAGAGCTAATTGGAGCAGAGTGTGTAATGCTCATTTGCTGTGTCACTCTTCGTCTAGACAAATGGAGCTCAGACAGTTCCAGCGACGCAGCCTGCTGGCCCTTCGCAACCCGCTGTCCTACAGCCATCTGTGGAACCCACTCCACAGGTAGTATATCCAGCCTCCACCTTTCTGCTGAATGTCTGTAGAGCTCATACCTTGGCTTCCGCCAAGCAAAACTATTGGAATACAAACGAGCCTCTATCGTCTTACAGGCCATCAACAAGACTTTTCTATAGGGATTGGATTAATTTGGGTGGGGTATGGGAGGCTGCAGCTGACCAGCTCTGCCCTCATTTGTATTTATTACTTTGATTGGCATTGCAATGGGGAATATTTAATAGCCTTGCAAATAATTCTGAGAAGTAGACCATGTAAAGCCCCCATGTCTTTCCCTCTGCTACTGAAACTAACTCTGTTTTTTGTCCCATTCTGCTTGGCCTTCTCGCACAGTGCCACCCATAACTTGTTAATGGTGTTAGCTTAGTTTCAGGGAGTGAATAGCCACACTCAGCTCTGTGAGTGTGGACACAGTGCAGTTGTGTGTTGCAGCTGCTGCTTAGACAGGCCACCAAGTACCAGCCGCCAAGGTTCATCTCCGCGAGCAAGAATTCAGAGAGACAGAGGCTGCTAGGAGAAGATTTCAGTTCTCAGAATAGCAACAAGGTAAAAGAGATCCAGGGGAAGGTAGGCAAAGTACAGAGAAGAGAGGGGGCTTCACTGCCTTTTTCTTGGACCTCCAAAATCTCCTATCCCAGGTTGGGAGGTTGCCTCTTTTTAGACTCGCCATACTCCGTAAACCCCAGGAGTCCACTGTCTACTCTTCATTGTAAGGACCTCTTAGCTTTGCCTTTACACCTCACCGCCAGAGCAGACTTGGGCTCCTGGCTCTTGAAACAAATTGGTGCTAATTTGGAAAGGATCCAGAATGGGTAATGAGAGAGACTCTTGGGGAGAGGGAGTTCTTATCTTGTTTGTTTTGTTTAAATTATCTTAGTGCTGGTGAAAGGTCCCAGATTAGCAGCTCTGAAGCCCTCTAGTTATCCATGGGAGGGTGGGGGGGTAGCAGCAGTGCAAGTTTTCCCCACCAATGTGTCCTTTTAAGGGGGAGACTGTCTTCATGGTTCATTCAGCCTTTGACCTCTCTGCTGAGTCAACTGGGGAAGGGGGTCATGGTGTAGGTGATTGTCTCCCTTCAGTCCCTCGTTGAGCAACACATTTCAGAGACCACAGAATGGATTTCATGGGAAAGTGATTTGGTCATAGCTGGCTTGGGCTGAGTTTAAATGCAAAACCTAGGGCTGAAAGCCTCTAGGAGACCCAGGAAGAAAGCATAACAGCTAAACTAGAGCAGCAAAAGGATATTGGTCCAGAAGCACAAGCTTCTGGGCATGCTGAGATTCTCAGTAGTTAATGTGAGGACAGCAAAAAGTAATGGCCTTAAACAAACAGGAAAAGTGGATGAAGTAGCTCAAAAGACTCTCTCAAGAATGAGGTTTTCTGGACAGTAGAATAACTTGCCAGAGAAGCTGTGGAGTCATGGATCCACAGGATCTGTTCTGTGCCGAGCCTTTAAACCAGCTGTTGGAGGAGCCCCTTTAGCATGGCAGAACCCCAAAGGATCCCACTCCTTCCTTGAGGCTTGGTCATGCAGCCTCACTATCTCCTAGACTGAGTGTATGGGCTCCAGCCCTCCTGTTTCACACCATGAGCTCTGCCCAGTGAGTCCAACTGAAGTAGACTGTGTAGAGACTTGTCCTGTCTTCAGGGACTAATGAACCCAAGCCAGTATTTGTGGTGACAGCCAAGCAGCATTTTCAGAACAGAGTAGGATATTTTAGTCGGCTGGAACACGGCACTGGAAGTCCCTATGTTAGCATAGGGAAATGAAGGTTAAAGCATAAACCATTCTGGCCAAACCAGCATGATTCACAGCCAAGCTGTAGTGAGCTCCATTGCAGGCTCTCTCTCTCTCTCTCGCCCTGACCTCCATAGTCAGTCCCAGGAGAGCAGCCAGAACCAGAAGCCCACGCTGTATTCCTTGCTGGTCACCCCCCCAGTCTTTGTTCTTCAGGCAGCGCCATGCATGAGTCATGGAGCTTGAATTGTCTCTCTGGACCCCTTGTTAATCTGAATCGGTTTCAAACAGTTCCTTGCCTACTCCATTCATTCCTCCCAGACAGCGAGGTGCCACATATACCAGTGTCTCCTATGCAGTTCCAGCAGCATTGTTAACCCTTTTGCCCCCACTGGGTAGCAATGCAAAGTATAGAGGGAAACTGAGGCACACACCGGCTTCATAAAAATATTCCAGAAGATTCCCACTTTGTCAGAGTCACCCTCACGGAAGAGATGGGCAACGAGAAGGGAGCTGCTGGTGGATTCTGTAGAAATCTATTACTAACATCTTACCACGATGCAGGCAGAAAGTTGAAGGAGGTCTCAGACCCAACCATGAATGTTCTGCTTCTGAGATGTCCTCAGCCTTCTGAATGTTGCTGGAACACTCATTAGTGTGTGTGCATCCCCCACTTCCCTTAGGAAGGGACCCTCTCCCCACTGAATGGCTCTTTGGTTCTGATTGCTTTTTGGTGACTCTCCATGCAGGCTGTAGTCTCAGCAGCCCAGGATGGACTCCTTCACCAACAGGAGGAGCTGGAGAAGAAAGCAGCAGAGTTGGAGAGGAAGGAGCGAGAGTTGCAGAGTAATGCAGCAAACTTTAACTGTGAGTAGTGTTTCTTTCCCTGTCTAAGAACCCATACTGTGCATCACACCTGTCTAAGCCCGAGTGTACAAGAGTTCCCCTGGCCTGTGCATTCTGACGGGTGTCGGACCCCATTATATTGTGCTGGGGCTGAGTTTGCATGAGAAATGTCTAAGTGCCACAGCAATGGAAATTTACACACACCGTTTTAATGCAATTCTGAGGCATCCCACAAGGGGGAGAGTGATAAAAGCTAAAGGTTGGGATTCAGGAGACCAGCTGTATGTAACCTTGATCCAATTGGACTTTGTGCTTCATTTTTCCTACAATGGTGTGTGTGTGTCAGGGTGGGGGGACTGCTACCTAGCTCAGTCCCATACTCAATCCGTTAGACCATGTGACACCTCTTACCCATTTGTCTCATGCACATGCTGATGTTCTCAGGCACTCACCTGTAAGCGGCTGTTTTATTATAGGTGGAGTTTGTGGTACCATCCGCAGTTACGGTTGCCTGCATTATAAGATCCTGTTTTCAGTTGCTTATAACTTTGCCAAACTTTTACTGTTCAGGCTAAAATTGTCCGTGCTGTGTGTGCCTAAGGCTAACTTTTTTTGGAAAGTTTTAGCTAAAATGATTCAGTGATTTCTGAGAATGAGGTTCAGGAAAAATTCCTTGTTTTATCCATGTTAAAATATTCTTTCAACCGTCTTGTTGTTATGGAGCTCTGTTGCTCCACGCTTTGGCAGCATAGTTGCCCTGGTGTCAGTCCCCATAAAATTCACTAAAATTTGGCCAATTTTGAGCCTCTGAAAAGGCTGTTGGCACATGTTCAGTAGACCCTTGTTAGTTTGGCAGCAAAATTCTCAGAAGAGTCTGTCTGTACTGAGCATACTGCAGCCCAGAGAAAGAAGGCGCAGGGAAAGAAGGGTCTATAACCACTAGACTTCACATCTAGGAGCCCTGAGTTTCTGTTCCTCTGCTGTCAGCAAAGAACTTCAGAACTCACTGGCAAAGCGTCTGTCTCATTCCCTTCTAGTAGCTGGTCCACACAGAGGATAACAGCCTGCTACTACTTCCAGTTACACTGTTAGCTCAAGTGTTAGTGGTCCGTTCTGCAGATCTAAAGGTTTGAAGCCTGCTGATGACTCAAGCTGGTGGTCAGTATGGTTCCGCATAATGGGATTTTTGTCAGTGTTTTTAAAAATTAGGAGATTGTAGCCTTAATCTTTTAACAATTTTTTAAATGCCAAGTCAAGCATTCAGGTTAGGAAATGCCAGAATTAGGTTGCCCGTGTCACTGTAATTCAGCCCCCTTGTGAATATGCACTGATAGTCTTTAATTACATGATCACGTACTATTTCTTCCACAGAACCTTTGCCCCTTTCACTGTATAGGATGGATGGTGCCCTGGGAATGCAGCAGGATTGTGTGTAATGAAGAAGATAGTTGTCTGGGACACTCGCCTTATTTGTTGTAGAAGTTGGAACGTGTGTAATCAATGAGAGAGGCAGGGTGGGTGAGGTAATATCTTTTATTGGGCTAACTTCTGTTGAAAGACAAGCTTTTGAGCTACAGAGCTGTCTCTCTTACCAACAGAAGTTGGTCAAGTAAAAGATATTATCTCACCCCCCCCCCCTTCTCTCTCATATCCTGTGACCAACTGACTACAACTACACTGTGTACATGTAGTGAATGAAGCAGAGAATTGCAGAAGAAGAGAGAGAGTCTTATTGATAAGGAAATACAATCCATTTCTCCACAGCGGTATTCTAGCCCTGCCTCTGCCACAGATTTCCTGTGTGATGCTTGTCAAGTCACTTAAAACAAGCTTTTCACAGTTGCCCGCTAATTGTGTGTTCCTCAACTTTCTGGATGCACAACATAAGACACTTGGAGCCAGATTTACAGAAGTGCTGAGCACTCACAACTGCAACTGAAATCAGCTAGAATTGTGCTTTGGACACACTGTAGAGCTGGGTGAAATTTTTGTGGTGCAGTAAATTCCTTGAAAAATGCATTTTTGGGGCACCAAAACTATTTGCAAATTGGGTGAATAGTGTTAGCCAAAAAAAAAAAAATCCTGAAGAAGAAACCTGGAACTGTCAACATGGTTCATTTTGAAATGTTGTTTTGAATTGACATTTTAAAATCAAAACAGTTTTTTTTTCCCACATGTCAAGAAAAAACAAAAAATTGAGTTTTGGTTAGAAACTAAATGGTGTTTTGTTTTGTTTTTTTTTAATTTGGTTCGGCCACAGAACCAAAATATCAATTATTTCCTTGGCTCTAATATAAAGTGATATCTAATGCTAAGTAGGGCTGTCGATTAATTGCAGTTAACTCACGCGATTAACTCAAAGTAATTGCGATTAAAAAAATTTATCGCAATTAATCACAGTGTTAAACAATAGAATACTAACTGAAATTTATTAAATATTTTTGGATGTTTTTCTACATTTTCAAATATATTTTCTTACAATACAGAATACAAAGTGTACAGTGCTCACTTTATATTATTTTTGATTACAAATTTGCACTGTAAAAATAAGATATTTTTCAATTCCCCTCATACAAGTACTGTAGTGTAATCTCTTTATTGTGAAAGTATAACTTTCAAATGTAGATTTTTTTTTTTTTGTTACATAACTGTACTCAAAAATAAAACAATGTAAAACTTTAGAGCCTACAAGGCCACTCAGCCCTACTTCTTCTTCAGCCAGTTACAAGACAAACAAGTTTGTTTACATTTATGGGAGATAAGGCTGCCTGCTTCTTATTTACAATGCACCTGAAAGTGAGAACAGGCATTTGCATGGCACTTTTTTAGCCAGCATTGCAAGGTATTTACGTGCCAAATATGCTAAATATTCGTATGCCCCTTCATGCTTTGGCCACCGTTCCAGAGGACATGCTTCCATGCTGATCATTAAAAAAAAAATAATGCATTAATTAAATTTGTGACTGAACTCCTTGGGGGAGAATTGTATGTCTCCTGCTCTGTTTTACCTGCATTCTGCCATATATTTCATGTTACATCAGTCTCAGATGATGCACAGCACTTGTTCATTTTAAGAACACTGTCACTGCAGATTTGACAAAATGCAAAGAAGGTACCAATGTGAGATTTCTAAGGATAGCTACAGCACTCGACTCGAGGTTTAAGAATCTGAATTGCTTTCCAAAATCTGAGCATGGTGAGGTGTGGAGCATGCTTTCAGATGTCTTAAGACCAACGCTCCAATGTGGAAACTACAGAAGCTGAACCACCAAAAAAGATGATCAGCCTTCTGCTGGTGGCATCTGACTCAGATGATGAAAATGAACATGTGTTGGTCCACACTGCTTTGGATCGTTACCAAGGAGACCCTGTCATCAGCATGGTCGCGCATATTCTGGAAAGATAGTTGAAGCATGAAGGGACACGTGAATGTTTAGCGCATCTGGCACATAAATATCTTGCGATGCCGGCTACAACAGTGCCATGCGAACACCTCTTCTCACTTTCAGGTGACCTTGTAAACAAGATGTGGGCAGCATTATCTCTTGCAGATTGTAACCAAACTTCTTTGTCTGAGTAATTGGCTGAAGTAGGGCTGAGTGGACTTGTAGGTTCTAAAGTTTTACATTGTTTTATTTTTGAATGCAGTTATTTTTTGTACATAATTCTACATTTGTAAGTTCAACTTTCATGATAGAGATTGCACTACAGTACTTGTATTAGATGAATTGAAACATACTATTTCTTTTGTTTTTTACAGTGCAAATATTTGTAATTAAAAATAAAGTGAGCACTGTATCCTTTGTATTCTGTGTTGTAATTGATATCAATGTATTTGAAAATGTAGAAAACATCCAAAATACTTAAATTATATTCTGTTATTGTTTAACAGCATGATTAATCTTTTTAATCGCGTGACAGCCCTAATGCTAAGTACTTTGGGAAATCAGGCCCTAGGTGTCTCACATTAGGCACCTTAAATTATTGGACATTTTTGACAACTTTGGCCTTAATCTCTCTGCCGCATTTTCCTAACTGTAAAATGGAAATGATGCCACCACCTTTTCTCACAGGGATGTTGTGCAGATAAATTAATGTGACAGCCACACATTGAATGAGGACAATACAAAGTAATATTGAATACCCATTCACTGAATGAGGCAGGGGAACAAATAGTATGATCATGTAATTAAAGACTATTGTAACACACACAAGAAGACCAAATTAAGGTTGCACAAGTAACCTTAATTCTGACGTTTCCTAACTCGGATGTTTGACTTTGCAGCCTTAATGTTCTTTTATTGGAATTTTTGTAATGTAATTTGATATAGTCTCATCTGAGTACCTTTCAGTAGCACACTAAGCAAAGTGAGTGACACCTGTCATGCGTGGCTAAGGACGAGAATTGTGTGTGTAGTGTATCGTAGTGTTTAGATTCTGGGAGGGTTTTTTGTGTGTGTACTCACTGCTATGTGTGTTAAAGAAGGCAGTTCCAAGAAGTGCGCTTCGCACTTGGAGCGGAAGATGATGTTTGTGATGGTCCTTTGTCCCTGCGGGAGTTTGTTCCACAGTCCTGGCCTAACCCCCATGATATCAGAGGCCTCTAAAACAACACCTGACCTATTTCACTGGTGTCAGGTTCCTAGCAGTGTTTATCCATCCATGAATGAAGCTCCTGATGCAGGTTCACTTCTAAGGCTCAGACTATTCAAATCAAATTTCTTGCCATGGTCTGGTTGCTACATCATCTTCCAAGAGTACAGTCTTAATATATACTGACTACTAGTCTGCTTGCTTGTGAATTATCGTGCTTTAGGGAGTCTGTCGAACCAGGGTACTCTCTTGAGGGATCTCTCCTTGTTTCCTTTTATAGCGAGACAGAACAATTGGCCACCCTTTCCCAAGAGGTGTCCAATCAAGCCATGTTTCTATCAGGACTTCTCTGCAGACATCCCAGCCGATCACCAGCGTACATGCAAGATGCTGTATTACTTGTGGATGCGTGAGTAACCACCTATAACTGGCACAATTGGGGAAACAGTGTTGAGCTAGAAGGACAATTTTGAATGGTTCTTTCTCAGGAGGCTTTCTATCAAATGCTGACTTTTCCATAGCAACTATTGATGCTGAAGTCATCTGTAGGTGACCTTAGTAGCTGTAAAATCCTGGTCCTCCGCTTTTTAAAGACAGATCTAAAAAAGACTCTAGTTAAATGCCTAGTTATTGGGCTCGATGCAGGTATTTCTAGATGAAATGCTGTGGCCTGTGTTATGTAGGACTACGTAATCATAACGGTCCCTTCTGGACTACGAAATCTATGAATCTGAAAGGATGGTGGATGTGTTTAGCTATAATGCATCAGGGAACCCAAACTCTGCTCCCCTTTTGATATCTGTCTACAACATCCCACACGATTACTACTTTAGGTGGAAAATAATCACAGCCCCAGCAGGCAGTTAAGAAGAATTAAGCCTTTAGGCTGGAGAGATAAGGAGCAGTATCAGATGGGACCCTTACAGTAAGATCCACCTTTCCATGCAGACAGCCCTTGATAGGGAAGGGAAATGCTGAAACTATGGCTCACGTGCTATCTAGTTTCTATAGACAATGTTGTGCATTGTGGTCCATGAGAGGGCAGTGATGCTTTGGTACTTTGTGGGTTTTCCGAGAGATTACTCATCTGTTTCCTTTCTTCTCTCATCCTGAACAGTTCATTCAGTTACCCTGCTTCTAAACCTGCTTGCCTGCCTGGCATGGTTCACCATCCACTCCTACAGAGGAGTAGACTTTGGTCTCTCAATCCTGTGGTTTGTTTTGTTCACCCCTTGTGCTTTCCTCTGTTGGTATCGACCCATCTACAAGGCTTTCAGGCAAGTACAGTTTTTCAGTTTAACAGGGATATGGCCATTACTGGGAGGAAGTGCTGTTTAATCTGATCATAATGTGTATTCCTGGGGGATTTTCCAAGTCTTCAGTACATTAGATAGACCTAAACCTCCCTTACAGACTGAATGTTGGGGGTGTGTGCTGCAGGTGTGGAAGAGAGATTGATCTTCTTGTGCTCACTGTGATGAGCTTAAACTGGATAATGTTAACGGTCCATTCTCACGTTAAAATCTACAACCTATTGAGATGGATGTAGTGAAAGATCATCTGACTGCAGCTAAATGTGCCACATTAGACAGTAGAAACCTAAACTAACTCGGAAATGCCTGTCAATGAGACATTAACACATATCCAGTGTCCAAACCCCAACTAATTATTTGGTCCTAGTTACTATTCATGGTCAGAAAATTCTTGACAGTAGTAGCCCAGTAAAGCAGACGGGTTGTATGTGGGTTTTACCATCATACATACCATATGGAATGAGTGAGTGCATATTGCAGCCCCTGTGTTTAATTCTCTTGCTGCATGGCTTCCTCTTGGTGCCACAATCCCTACCCTTCATGCAATCGTCAGCTGGAGGGAGGGTTCATTGTGATTGTTGCCCATTTATTTACGAAATGCTTTTTTGTGATTTGTATCGTGCGTCTGTCCTGGGGATTCCTGGATTTCACTCGCCCCGTCTCTCACCTTGCAGGTCTGACAGCTCCTTCAGCTTCTTTGTGTTCTTCTTGATCTTTTTCTGCCAAATTGCAATCTACATCATCCAGGCAGTTGGCATTCCTGGCTGGGGAGACAGGTAAGCATGACTTACAGTGTGTGCAATGCAGCCCTGAACTGGCACCTTCTCAACAGGACTGCAATTGTCTGAAGAGTTTCTGTTCTTTGCTTTTTGTTCTTAAAGCTGTCTGTTCTCTTCCATTTCTGTCTTGGTGCATGGCTTCTGCAGAGTTCAGCTGGGTGCCTTTCTCTGCCACGCTTCCTATTTTAGTCAAGTCAAAGGCATGTATTTCCTCTGCTGATATTGCCTGACAGTTCCCAATCACTCCTTACTGTGCTGTCTCCTGCTCTTTATTTCTAAATGTCTTTCTACGCCTATGTGGTGCCACGGCTTCAATGGAAATCTTGTCTGGCTACTCTAAAAACCCACGTAGCCTGCTTTGGTGGAGGTGATATTCTATAGATCAGTATGTGCTAATAATCTAAAGACTGGGTACCAGAATCCATCTGTCAGCAGTTCTGATCCCCTGTAAAACAAGAGCAGAGCTTTCTTAGTGTGTCGCTGCAAATTAAACTGAGACAGAAGTGGGGTGGTTTTTTCCAGCTCCACCCCCCACCCTCCCCCACTGTTAACATTATGCATGTGAAGAATAGTGAAAAGGTCAGAGCTGGGAGCTTAGTTGTGGGGGCACCTTCAGGTAACAACTGCAGTGAAATCGCAACCTATTTTTGCCCACAGCCTGGAGAATGGCTCCTGGGCAAAGTCTTCCCTCCCTCTCCTGGTTCTTTGACCCTATCACTGCCTTTTGAGTCACAGTCGGAACTCCATTTTTAGTCTGACTTGGGCAAGCACTCTGGTTCCCAAGAACCCACTGATCTGTAGAGAGAGCCTCTCCCAGACAGACAGTATTTTCATCAGTGGCTAAATAATGTGATTTGTGGTTAATGCTACTTGAACACAGTGTAAAATACACAGCTAATGAAACACGTCAAATATTTCCTTCTCGCCAATTGCTTCTCAGTCTCCTTTGGCAAAAGATGATCCAGTTTATTTAGCAGTTGAAATTAAATGCCCTTTTCTAACGGTGAGAGGAGGACCTTTGTCCAAATAGATAATTCTGGATTCTAGCTAGGTGTTTTAGTAGTCCTAATCCTTTGCACTTTATCAGGGATATGGCCATAAGGAACTCCAGGGATTAATCTCAGGAACTGGCATCTACTAAGGAGCTTTTTATCCAGCTCTTACACTGTGCTCCTTCATTCTATTTTCTTTGTTTCTTCCACTCCTCACAAATATTTCCCCAGCCTTGCAAGACTCTCATGAAAATACTGGCCAGGCTAGAAATCTACTTGCTTGTCCTTTCTCATGATGATAAACTAGCGAGTAGAATTTTACAAGAATACTTTATCCATAAAGGTGTTTATGAAGGTCCCAAGTGCTTTGATTCATGCATGGCAGCAGAGCCTGACTAGTGTGGGGTCTCTAACCATATGCGGAGGATATCTGAGGCAGGCAGGGTTAGCATAATACTCTGTGCAGGCGTCAGAGAGACTGCTTCTGAAAATGAGTGGGTCAGAATTGCTACAAACAAGTGCCCCAGCTGCATTCTGGGCCTCAAGTCCCACAATGTTAACTCTTTGGAGTTGGATTTTGTACCTTTCTGTGACCGTGGCCCAGTGATTCTCCTCCTTTCCCAAGTCCATTGTGCTTTTGGCCATTCTTCTCCAGCTAGCAACCATTTGTGTGTGTGCGTTCCACATTGGGTTTACTTTTAGGGTATGTCTACACAGCAGTGTAAACCCAGGCTCAAGCCGAACCCCCCCCTCAGCCCCCTCCCCGGCATCCGCACACCAATTGTGCAAATTTAGGGTTTGGACCTAGGGTCCCAGGACCCTGCAGGGCTGGAGGGTCCGAGCCCATGTTAAGCTGGGACCTAGGGTCCAAGCCCTATTGCTTTCCTGTGCACGCACAGCCCCATCTTGACTTGGGTCCCAGAAGTCCTCCAGACATATCCCAGAGTTCCTGGCGGCAGAGGAGTAGCAGTGCAGGCAGCCAGCACAGCGGCCGGAAGCACCATTACTGCCTGGCTCATTGTACTCCATGATCCTGCTATGGCTCCTCGCTGGTGCACGGAGATTGCCAGGAGCAGGGAGCAAAGCTGACCAGTGGGTGGCAGCTCCCAGTTGCCAGGATGTTGGGGGTCATCCCCCCCAGCCATGCTGAGTCAGAAGCTCTGCCGCTTCCCTCCATGCCAGTAGCTGCTTGGTCCCACTGCACCCCCTGTCCGTGGCTCCCAGGTCCTCCCTGCTGCTGTGTGCGCAGGGGCGCCTGCACTTTGAGGGCAGTGAGTGGGAGCCAGCCCCCAAACTTCCCCCCAGGGAGCCCTTATCCCTGCCAGCGGGGGCAGGGATAAGGGATCCCCAGGGCTACTGGAGTACATTGCACCCCAAGCCCTAGGGATGCACTTCACTGCTCTGCAGCCAGCAGTAGCCAGGCGGGGGGGAGGGGCATGTTTTTCCTCTGACATAAACTGTAGCTTTCAAACTTCAAAACAAATAAAAAACCAACCAACCAAAGACACCTTCATTGAACCGCCCATTTTAAAATTTAAGAATTGCAAAGTTTCAGTTTAATAGTTTGTCAGCCCTGGAGCCTGATGTCCTAATTCTCCTCAGAACAGGGACACCTGGGGATTTTCCCACTACTGTGACCACCTAGAGCTGGAGAGCCCACTTCTCAGATTCGATGGCCGTTCAGTATGAAGCCTTCTCACACTACAGCCATTCTGTTGAGAGGCGCTAATTATGTAGCTGATGACCTTGTGCTCCTTATGGGCAGCTGAGTCCCATCAATAGCAACACCACAATTAGGAAACGGGGTGGGCAGTAGAGTTTTCCCACAGTGCACCACCTTCCTAGGGCTAGAATGTCGACATGGGGGTGGGGGCGGGGGCTAGGCACTGTGGGATAGGGTTACTTTGACTCTTGTCCATGCACTGCAGTGTGAATGCCAGAGCCCTAGGTTTGAGCACAGGTCTGAAAATCCTTAACCTAGGGTGAAAATGCAGTGTAGACACTGAAGCCCAGGGTTCCCTGACACGGGTCAGCTGACTTGAGTCCCACTAGGCTTACATTGCTGTGTAGACATACCCAGACTGCACTGTGAGAAGGGAACTGTACAAGGGAATGGGAAGGCACCTCAGTGGTCCTTTTCAAAGCTAGTCTAGCATCTAGAATGGGTAACTTCCTGCAAGAGACTGAATTCAGTAAGGAATTTTTCCTGTGGTCTGATATTCCTGCAGCAGCTCCACTTGGCTGCATGTCCTCTCTGGTCCCTCAGTCCTCTTGTCATCAAATAACCCGAGTAACCTAGTGCTCTCCGAGAGTCTTGTCTGTTCTCTTGTCCCTGTGTATACCTGGTACTCTTCATGTGATGAGCCCTCTTTCTTACAGTGGTTGGATTGCAGCTCTGGGCGAGACAAGCACAAACTTGGCTGTGTCCATAATCATGATGGTGGTGGCTACATTCTTCACTCTGTGTGCTGTCCTCTCACTCTTCCTCCTAAAGAAGGTAAGTTACTGAAAGAGAAGAGCTGCTCCAACTTAGATCCTGCATCCTAGGGGCAGCTCACCACCAGTAGCAAAGGATTTCCAGGTATTGAATCATAGTCTCTTCTAGAGTTTTTTGTGGTTAGTAACCAGCTTAGTTTCGAAGGAAGGATGAAAGTAGCAAGTTTGTCAAGAGCTTTTGGAAGGCATGTTTTCCTGTTCCTCCTCCTGGATTTGTAAAAGTCCCTCACAAGAAGCTGTGATGGAAACGTAAGTAATCATGTGGGTGAGAAACTAGCTAAGAGACTGACAACAAAGTAGGAGGAATATGTTGTCTGTTTTCTATATGGCAAAAGGTTACCACAAGGCCAGCATTTAATATCTAGAAAAACAGGGGAGAGCAGTGAAGTGGCAAGATTGGCAGATGCCATTTAGGTTAATTGAGACTAGAACAGATTGTCAGGAAGTTCAAAGGGACCCAGACACAGTAGGAGACTGGGCAGTATGAGGACAGATGAAATTCAACATTGACAAATGCAGGGAAATGAAACTGGCAGGCATCGCATGAACTGGTCTTAGACATTACAATTAATCTAGAACCCAGCAACCACTTGAGAAATCTTGGGCTTCATTGGGGATGGGTCACTGAAGGCCTGTGCTCAGTGTGTAATGGCAGTCAAAAAAGCAAACTATGCCCTGATGCATAAAGCATAGGAAAGAAAAGAACATTGGCAGGATCCTGCCACCCTGTGAATGAGGTAGATGGTACAATCTAGCCTGCACTGCTGTGCTTGGCTCTGTACAGCAGGGGTGGGTGGTGGAAAAGATTACAGCTATGCGCAAGAGACTTCCATACCAAGAGTCAGTGAAAAGATAGCGACTGGTTAGTCTAAAGAGAGGATGTGGTAGAGGTAGACAAAATAACAAATGGGCTAGAGAACAGAAATCTCATCTCTCTCTGATCACACTTTTATCCAGTGCATAATTGACCTGTTCACTGTCCCAAGATCTCAGGCCAAGAGCTAAGCAGAATTTCAGAAAAGATCAAACACTTACATGGATCATGAGAACAACCACAGTTACACTAGATAGGATAAAATATATAAGGGCTGTGAGTCTTCCTGGTTCAGGGAATGCGCCACTTGTTAGCTTCTTCCTAGCCCATCAGTTATGGGCACATTATTCCATAATTATCCATCAAGAAGCTTCTTGGACCTTCCCCTGAAGCATCTGGTCCTGACCAGTTTTGGAGATGGGACACTGGGCTGACCTGGGAAAGTAATTCTTACATTCCTCTGCCAAATACTTCAAAACCATCACCACATGGTGCCCATTTAAACTATGCCATGGTCTGCCCCCTGCAGCCATGAGCCAGTTCCCTCCCTCTACAGCCTGCTGTCCGGGAAACACATCTACCTCCTGTTGTCCCAGTTTTGCTCCAAACACGCCCCACCTGCCTTCCTCCTGCAGTATCTGGATGAATGTTTGCCAGATATCAAAGACAACTGATTTGATACCTGGGGAATCTTGGAGGTGGAGGGCAGGGGCGTGAGTGAATTCCATAGTCGCTGCCTCCTTGAGTCCTAAATGACTCCTGGGATGATGTCCGCCTCTGTGCCATCAAGTACCATCATACCCAGGTCTCTTGTGTGACCCACAATGTTTAGGGGTCAGGAGGTCCCTGGTTATTCATCCTCCGCTGAGTTGAGTGCTCTAATTTGTAATGAGTGATGATCTCCTCCTCCTGAATCTTCCACAGCTGGTACTGGACGTGATTTGGCTGCCAGCCTCTCTTTTTGCTCGTGGCATCCCTTCATGCCTGCAAGGCTAGCTAGTGATGGAACTAGGGGGAGAGGGATTTGCTAGCTTCCTGTGTGCTGTCCTGAGGTTCTGTCAGCGGCCGGAAGTCCCGTAGAGAGGTGGTGCTGGGGCAAAAGGGAGAGTCCTTTGGCTGACAGATTCTCTCTCCTTTCTCAGGTGCACTCTCTGTATCGCCGGACAGGAGCCAGTTTCCAAAGGGCCCAGGAAGAGTTCTCCCAAGGCATCCTCACCAACAGGAACTTCCAGAATGCAGCTGCCGGGGCTGCCTCTTCAGCTGCGCAGGGCGCTTTCCGGAGAAACTAGCCCTTCCCATGGGCACCTCCACCGTGCCCCCTTCCCCTTCCTTTTCCATCACAACCTGATCTTAAGATGCACTTTCCACGGGCACCATGCTAACTCCATGACGCCGGCTGCTGAGATGAGAAGAGGTCTCTGTAGCATCAGCTCGTCTGCATTTCTGGCGACTAGTTCTTCTTCTTTCCTTGCTTTGGGGTGGGGGGATAGGGAAATATTCTCTTAAATCAAATATAGCTCTCCTTATCCAGGACAGGTTCGACATTTCTTTTACTACCTCTCCTGCTTGCCCGTGCTCCAGTGATAGAGAGCGGAATCTCATCACTTTTTAGCAACTCTTCCATTGGGCTTTGCTCTGAAGGATTTATTTTGTAACTTACATGAGGTGGGTGTTAATAATAAGGGAGAAAGCTGCCCTTTGTTTGAAACCTCTTACTGCCTGGCTCCCATGGGGTCCGGTTAACGTGTGGCATAAAGAGTGCTGTTGGGGAACTGCTCTTTGCCATCCCATCATGGTGCAAATCTCCCTCCCGCTTCTGTTTTTTCTCACCTTGGGGGAGGGTCCTACCCAAGGTTGTATTATGGAATCTTATTCCTGTAGCCCCCAGGAGATGTGTGGAGGGTTAATTAATGGAGTGCAGCCTTCACCATAGCCTTAAATCTTGTGGGGGTGGGGATAATCTCTGTACCTCACCAGCCACTGTAGCAGCATTTGAGAGACCAGCGGCTTCATGGGGGACTCTGCGGGGTTGGGTATGTGTCCCATGGGATTTAAGACGTGGTGCAGTGAATTGAGCCAGCAAACCTTTTTTGAGAGGAAGTGATCTAGACTTTATACAGCTTGCTCAGCCCCTTGTGAGTGTGGTGCCGGGTTCAGAACACTACATATGCCTGCAGCTGGCCCTTCCTCTTCCCTGCCCAGCTTGTTCTCCACATTTGAGAGGATCGTCCCATGGCGCTTTGTGATTCCAGGGGAAATTCGTACGTTTCTCAAGAGAGAGAAGTCTTGGTTGCAGCATATTCCTTTTTGAAAGCAGTGTCTGTGCAAAACCCTCTCGGGGCTGTTGCTGGAAGCACTTGCCATCTTTTCTGGACTGCATGCCTCTGTGTTTGACCTTGAGCAACTGGTTAGTTCTTGAGGTGCACTCCTGAGAGCTCTTGAGATGGAGGAGTGGAATCTGCTCTTTCTTTAGATTTGTGATTTCTGCAGTGAAAAAAATACCTGCCCTTCACCAGCTGCTTTGTCTCCCCACCCCTTGATGGGTGTTGAATTTTTAGTATCCTGGTCTTACAAGCCCCTTTTCTAACAGGGAAAAGTGTGGGGGAGATTCACTTCTCCACCAGCAGGCTGAAAAGGGATTAGGAGAGGGGAAAGCAGGAGTGCTCCTATGCACTGAAGAAATCCAGGAATGCTGGGAAAGAGTGGGTAAAAGCCCTGAAAATAATGGTGTGATCATTTGCAAATTGCTTATAATTGATGATGACAGCATCGGTGTGGCTGTGCGATGCGGAAACTCCTCCCCAGACTCAGCCTTGATGCCTCTCTCTTCAGAGGCTGTGGAAACTCTTCAGGGCTTGCTGAGTGCATCTGGAAGCTCCTGCTCTGAAGTGTGTTCAAAGTAATTATTCAGCCTGTCTAGAAAGAAGAAAAAGGCCAGCCTCCAGGACCCTGAGCTGTTTGCTCCTTGCTGTTGCTATCATTGGCGTCCGTGCCACCCAGTCTGTTGAGAATTTTGCTCTTTCTGCAGAGGGATTGAGTGGAGTTGGGGCGGGGGGAGTCTACTGTGGAATTGGGACCCTTGGGGGTTTGCTTACATCCATATTTGATCTGGTTAACTAATCAAAACATAGTTAATTAATCCCTATCAGATTAGGGCCCAGGCCATTTGGTTTGTGGGCTCTGAGGAAGATGAAGGGCAGGGGAAAAATTGGGAGGAGCAAAGTGCTTGATACCTTCATGTGAACAAAGGAGCAGTTAGTTTCCATGGTGTGTGTTATATGGAAATAGTGACTGGGTCATCATTAACCACCCCCCTTCCAGGGTAACGGTAAACCAGGTCTGTTTGAGCTGATCCAGTGTACCTGGTGAGGTTTCCTCTAGCCTCTCACTTGTTTGAATGTACATGATGATGAAAAAAATAGACTTTAAAATCCCCCCCTTTCTGATGTATTTCCCTCTCTAAACTTTTCATGTAAAAATGTATATGTCAAGTCACACTTTTGTGCTTAAATAAAAAACAAAATAAACCTAACCCCCCAACCTTTCTGAACATCTCTGCTGGTTTTGAATGGCTCCCGTATGAGGAGAGATTAATAAGACTGGGAAGTTTCAACTTGGAAAAGAGACAACTAAGGAGGGATATGTCTGAGGTCTATAAAATCATGACTGGTGTGGAGAAAGTAAATAAGGAAGTGTTATTTACTCCTTCTCATAACATAAGAACTAGGGGCCACCAAATGAAGTTAATAGGCAGCAGGTTTAAAACAAACAAAAGGAAATATTTTTTTCACACAAACACACAGTCTTACCCAGTATAGCTGTTCTTATGTTTCAGCTAGTAGTGATCACACACATCCATTCCATATGTTAGCCACAGAAGTCCTAGGCTAGCTCAGAGGAGAGCCATATGAAGATTCATCTGAAGCATGTTGCTGTCAGTGCTGTGCATTTTGGGGTGGGCCTCTCTATGGCGCATTGGTCATGGGGTGAGAATTGTTGTTTTCCCTGAGCTGGCTTGCAGAGAGCAAAGTGGTGTCAGAGATCCATTGCGAATGAAGCCCTCTTCCCACTCTGTCCACATGTGCACTCTTGAGACTGCCTCTGCTTCAGGGTTTACCACGTTTATGGAAGCCAAGCTCACCGTCGGAACAATGAAACCAAGGGCTTGTCTACACTTGGAAAATTATCAAGATAACTACTCCAGAATGACAGGTTTCAAAGTAGCAGCCGTGTTAGTCTGTATTCGCAAAAAGAAAAGGAGTACTTGTGGCACCTTTAGAGACTAACAAATTTATTTAAGCATAAGCTTTCGTGAGCTACAGCTCACTTCCATACAGCACCTAGCACAATGGGTTTCTGGTCCATGAGTAGGGTTGCTAGGTGCTACGGTAATACAAATGAGTATCTGGAGTAGTTATTTGTAGCATAAACCCTCTAGTTTTGGTATTCATAGATTACAACCAGAAGGATCATTGTCATCTAGTCTGGCCTGTGTTACATAGGTCCCAGGACTTCCCTGAGTTAATTCCTGTCTGAACAAGTCTCAGGAAAAACTCCAGTCAGTGTTCACACAGGGGCTTATACCAAAATAATTCCAGAATAGCTATTTCAGTAAACTTCCACGTGTAGGCAAGCCCTGATTGTGCCCCATTCACTTCAGCTTCACCATGTGGCATCTCCTGAGCGCCTCTGATCTGCCACCCCACGCTTCAAGCAATTCTGGCTTAATTAATGATGGCCAAAACATGGCTCCAATGGTGACTTGGGTTCGCTGTGTAACATTTCTGCCACATGAACTGCCTCAGATGCACAAGGCTGCCTTCTCAATGTAAGAGCAAAAGGTATAAGTGGGTAGGATGGTGTCTGGAGTGATGCTTTCCACCCCACAAAAAATGTTGAGGGTTGCAATTTTTCTCCTCCCAATATGGAATGAAAAGCCAACATTTCTGAAATGTGTCATGAAGTGAAAGTGCAAAATATTCATTTTGGGTCAATCCAATTTTTTTTTGTTTTTGATTTTTGATCTTCAAGTCAAATGTTCGTTTTTTGGGGTTTTTTTAATCAAAACCTTTTTGTTCTGAACCCCCACCATGGGACATTTTAACAATTTTGGAACTCTTTTTGGTTTTGTTTTTTGTACACAACATCGATCGATACAAGTTTGTGAACAATTTCACATGAATCAAAATGGCCCGCACAAAACCTGTGCCGATGAAAACCGATCTCGCGGCTCTGCTCCTGAAGACATCTGCTGCTGCACTCGGTAGGTGTATGCCGTTTCTGCCATAGTGGCCCAAGATCTCTAGAGCAGAGCTTCTCCAGCTGTGGTATGTGAGCTCCCTGTTCCAGCCGTTCACTTTGCCAGGACACTGTCTGGTATGTCAAACGATAAAGTTTGGGAGTTGCTGCTCTACAGCCCTGTGCTCCCTGGCCTTGCTCCCTGGGCGTTCCTTGACGCCTGCCCAAAGTAACTGCAAAGTGCTCCCAAATCAATATGATGGCATGTAACATCCATTTTGCATGGGTGGAAATGGCTGTACAAGAGGCACAGAGATGAAGAGTCAGGGGCTGGTCTGAGAGAGCGAGAGCTCCTCTTCCATGTAACCATGGCATTGTGAGTGATGATCTGGTGCTGCCCTATGGATAATGTGGCCTTGACCTCCCAAACTTCTACCCACCATCTTCCTCCTAGCTGAGGAGTCAGTAAAAGGAGATTAAATCTATGCTAGTTAGCCTGACCCTAAATTGAAAAGGAGAGGATGGAACTGGATCCTCCTCCTACTGACCCCACATAGAGGATACAAGTACTTAAGCTAAAAGAGGTTGCCACAGAGCATTTGATGGGAGCGTAATCTGCTCATCTTTAAATACATTATATCTGTGCTGTGAACACCATGTGCTTTAAATGCTAAGGTTCCCAGGAAGGTTTGTAGCCAGCCCCTAACTTTGATCTGAATCTGGCTGCTTATTTCTAAAAACTGTGCTAGCAACATGGCAGGTGAAAGTAGTGTTCTTGGTATTATTAGTCTCTGTCTAACCAGCCCATGAAAAGTTAACTGCTGGGAGATGCAAGGAAAACTTAAATTAGTCTCTCCCCCTTCAGTGCTGAGGGGGAGGGGGCCAACCCTCTCACACTGCAGTCCTCATGACTTCAAGAGGGAGTAAGTGTGGGGAGAGATTAGACAGCTTGGGGTATTGTTTCTTACAGGGGCCATGGGTGCCTTGTCCTGGGATCCCTCTGTTTGCCAACAGGCCACTCCCAAAGAGTGGGTCTCAAGCTTGTATCTGTCTCCGCTCAGTTGTGAGCAGTGGATATCCTTGGAGCACAAACGTGCTCCACGACCTTTAGGACCGTCTCTGCAGTAGGTCTATGGTGTGCTACTGGGCGTGTGTGAGACTGGAAGGTACTTCCCACTCAACAGGACTGAGCAGAGAAGACTGCCCCTTTTTGAAGGAAAGGCAGATAGCACAGTTGTTCAGGTGGGGTGCTGAGAGACAGGAGCAAATACCATGGCTCAATGCATCACGTGCCATCCTTGCCAAGGGTACTAATGTAACCAGCTCTCATTGCTTTCATACCCCACCTGTTTCACTGCAGCACTATGGCTTGGGTCCGGCACTAATCCCCCTCTAATAAGGTGACACTTCCTGGCTTTTAAATGAGTTGGTTATGACTAATCTTACCACTTTCTAGTCAGGTTGCTAGCACTGGTGCTTTGCACTTAGTGGTGGAGATGAGAGGTGGGCAAGCTCTAAAGCAACAGTGGGGGAAACAGTGGTTACTTAATATTGCAAAAATATTTCAGCAGAATCCCTCCTTGTCTCCTGACAACCCTTCTCTGCCTGCTCCCAATGCACTGTCACAGACACAATTTCCTCTTACTCTAGTCTAAGGACACTTGTTCGTTTTAGATCCAGGGTTTGGGGGGGTGGGCGTTGGTGTTTACAGGACACTATATACATCGAAATGGGGCATGGTTTAAAAAACTGGATTTTTCAAAGATTAACAATGTAGATAGGTTGCCAGGCTGGCATCTAACATATTTAAATATATAAAGCTTGGGTCTTTGAATATGTCAGTCCATTTAAAATCTTAAAGGGACACAACCAAGGCACAATGAGAATATTTTACTTGCTGCTGTTACAAACAACACCTTCATTCACTGCAGTTGCAAGAGATTATATGGAGATTCCCCTCCTTTCCAGTTTACAGTGTGCATCTGCCAGCCCTCTGTCTAGTCAGTTTCACTCACGCCCCCTTGTCAGTTATTCCCCAACCCTGCAAACATTGGTGCAGATTACATAAACTGTCTTGTTGACTTCAACGCCTGAGTAAAGGGGCCCACGTGCAAAACTGGGCCCTTAGGTCCTGATCCTGCAAGCTGTCCCGTCCCATGCCGGATTCAGGGGTTGTGACTGCTGCGGGGGAGGGGGCTAGTCATCTCTGCCAGCCAGCTGTGAGATTTCAGGCCCCCTCCAGAGGCTGCTGCTAAGGGCTCTCCTGTCCCCTTGCAGTCACCGCCGCCGCCGCTGGGAGCAGGGCAGAGGGCTCCCAGGCAGCCCGTCTCTGTTCTGTGCTGTCAGGGCCCTTTAAGAGAAGCAGGAAGCGAGCTGCCCGCTTCTGCCTGCCCCTCCCTGGGAGGGGAGCCGTGTGCGGAGGGGGGCTCTGTGCTCCAGGAGGGGCCGGGGCCGGGGCCGGGGCCCTGCCTCCGGGGGCTGTGCATGGGGCAGGCGGGATGGCGGGGGCTGGCTGGGCACCGCCACGCCTGGAGGAGTTCATCCTGACCGAGAGGCTGGGCAGTGGCACCTATGCTACTGTTTACAAAGCCTACAGGAAGGTAATGGGGCTGCTGGGCACAGCCAGAGGGGGATGGGCTGGGAGATGGGCAAAGGGGGGGGGGGGGTCTTGGGGGTGGAGAGCGGAAGAGCACGAGTGGGAGCTTGCTTTAAACAGCCCCCGCTCAGAGGCCCTGTCTCCCAAGGGAGCCTCTCTGGCTCTGCCCTGGGGGCCCGACCAAGGACCTCTCTCCCCAGGCCCTGCCAGCTGGTCTGCCGGTACAAACCCATTCCCTGGCACGGAGCTGGAGCACTTTCAGCCTGGCAGGGACAGCAGGGCTGCTCCTTCAGTCTCTGACTCTTCTGGTTTCAGAGGAACAGCCGTGTTAGTCTGTATTCGCAAAAAGAAAAAGGAGTACTTGTGGCACCTTAGAGACTAACCAATTTATTTGAGCATGAGCTTTCGTGAGCTACAGCTCACTTCATCTGATGAAGTGAGCTGTAGCTCACGAAAGCTCATGCTCAAATAAATTGGTTAGTCTCTAAGGTGCCACAAGTACTCCTTTTCTTTTTGACTCTTCTGGGTGACTGGGGGCAAGCCCTCGCCCCGTGCCTCAGCTTCCCCATTTGTGAAAAGCGATATGCTCCCGGGGAGGCTGTGTGTCGTATCCTTCTTGCCTGTGAGAGCTTCTGGGGAAGGGGCTATAGAGGGACAGAGCGTTGTGGATAATGGTTCCCCTTAAAGGAATGCCTGCCTGGTGTGATTCGC